TCTCTGTCCTTATATCGACATACAAGTAGTATAATTATACAGTATAATTTAATCGTAAATAATTCATAGATGTGAGTAGTAACGCGTAAATTAATGTAGGAATCAATGCAGCTGCAAACACATACAAGTAACGATGTAAAATCAATAAAGTTCAAAATAGGCATCTTAACCACATTTAATTCCTCGCCACAGACCGTTCTGTAATAAAATTGCCCTACAAAACAGCTGTGCTAACACTCGAATACTTTTTACGAATTTTTCTCAACAAAAAACCTTAGTCCATTCTTTTTCTCTAGTACCAGCTCGCTTCCATCTCCGTAACCACGCTCAAAGGTAAACGAGATTGCTCGGTCGGCCTTATAGAAAGAGTTTTATGCAACATTGAACTCTAAAACTTGTGCAATAACGATCACGAATTCTCGAGTAACAACAATACACAGGTTAATTGTAGTTCACCGTAGTATATTGCCGCAATTGCTTTTCAAATCGCTCAGTTTTTTTTTTCTTCGACGCAACAATGGCTGGCAGTTTTGTCGTTTTATCGATTTCGCATCGGTCCGTTGCGATTTATCGCATCCATGTACTTGAATAATTGATTGTTTCATGTAAAAAATCGAGTACTTAAATCGATAATTGAATTTTAACGTTCCACTATCGGAACCTTTCAATTACTATTACGATATAAACAAATTGGTTCTAAATAATTGTTGCGCTCAAAAGTGGCGTGGATAACACGAGTCGTTACGAAATATGGAGTTTGAATCGAGTTTATCTCGTGTTTAGAACCCATTCCCGTTATAGTCTCATATATATACAAAATTTATTTATTAACCATTGTTTAATTGCTTATAATCCGTTCCTTTGTTTACTAAAATAATAGCTGTTGATTTTGATAACGATATGTTTATATGATTTTTATTGCTATTATTATAAGAACTCTTATCAACTTATTATGCGATTTCATATTTTTTATTTCATGCAGATAATGCCTTCCTTTCAAATATAAGTTGATCCGATAGAGACAACAAATGGACTATCTAGTACTTACTTACTACTTATACTTAGTTAAACATCTACGATAAGCTCTAATTTCTTATAATGCATATCTTTTTTATCCAGTACAAGCGACACAGCACCATCCCAAGCATCCATCCCTATTGCGTATTAAAACTAATAGAATACTTTAATACATTTTATTTAATATTAGAATTGCATCATTAATATTGATTGAATTGTACAAAAACATAGTTTTGTACTATGTAATAATATGGAAACTCAGATATTTCAACCTGCAATCTCTTGTTCGGTCTCCTATCTCGTTCTTATGTCCTCAGAGTATAAAAAACCTTTACACAACTTTGCCATCGCCTTTATGCATTTTATGAAGAATCTTGAAGTTTCCATTGTGAGAAAATTTACCTGTACAAAATATGTATTGAATACAGAGCAAGGCGTTGCCGCGTTGCTAGCTGGATTGTCATAAACGTTATAGCACTTGTTTTAAGATTCCTTTTCCCATCACATCGTTTCTTCTTAACATATTTATTTATACTATTGGTCGTCCAATGGTCGAAATTCAAGCATAATTAATTAAAATTATGGTTATGCTTCACATTTAGAAAGACTAGACAAATAATGTAAAACAATTTTTCAGGCGTGTGTGTGTTAAAACACGGTAATATGTGTGATGTTTTTTTAATTATTTAATGTATTTTTAGGCATAACTATAAATAAATATTATCTTTGGACAGTACTCTATAAACAGACTATAAGTGTGTGAAAATTCATACTCTTCTGTCCACGCAATTTTCCTAAAAAGGGTTACAAAGTTTTTGCTTCACAAATTGATAATAGTAATGTCATGCAAATTGACAGTTACCTGTTGGAAAATAGCAACCATCAGCTATCATCGATATTATAGATATCAGTGAACATCGTGCCTGTAATCCACGCCCGTGGTCTCCCGTATTCCCGAGGAATAAGGTTGAATTAAGCAGGAAAAGTAATCATGTTGATTGTCTACTGCATCAACCAACTTACCAAGGTCAATACTTCATATGACTGTAATTACGCAACGGAAGTGGGTGTGCTTAGATCATGGGCAATCAGTACCATCTCGTATGATACTGTGTTCGTATTTCGGAGGTTCCAAATTTGAAAGCTACTCTTGAATATGTTTTTAATTAGATATTATTCGTTTTTTTGCTATCTATCTCATTCCACGTTACATGTTGATGCGATGTTTTAAGTTATGCAATGGATTTTAATGCAGTTTTTAGCAATAGATAAAGTGATTCAAAAGAAAAGTTTATATGTATAATATAATGTACACCCATGCAAAACAAATAAATTAACAAATACTTATACAATTAATGTCTCTCTCCAATTATCCAGTACCCACACTAGAGCGCTTGCAGTAGCCGTGTATATGTACAAGCAGAACGTGGACCATCACTGTTTTTGCAAATAAAATCACATAATAAGATTTTTTTATTATTTTAGATGGCCTCCATCTTGTGTTGCTACAGAATGATTTAATTTCAATAGTGGCTGTAATTTTTTTATTTAGAACCAATGAATATAAAAATATGTACATTTAGCAATGGGAACATTTAGGTTCTTAATGGTAATATAGGAATTGCTTACTACAAACCTAAAGATTTTTGACGCCCCCGGTGATTTAGCAGTTTAGCATACCGCTTTACTTCCGATATCTTACATATAAAATTCTCGTGTCACAATTTTTGTTCCCATACTCCTCCGAAACGGCTTGACCGATTCTCATGAAATTTTGTGAGCGTATTGAGTAGGTTTGAGAATCAGCCAATATCTATTTTTCATCCCCCTAAATGTTAGAGGTAATCCACCCCTAATTTTTTTTTATTTTAAGGCAAAACAACGTTTGCCGGGACAGCTAATTTTATATATTAATGAGTATGATTGTTTGTAGGTACTAATCTAGATGTTTCCTATGTATATTATGTATATATTTAAAAAAAATATTTAAGTATTATGTCCTTTGTCTAATACCCATAACATAAGCTCTGCTTTACTTGAGACTCGATAATGCAGTATGAATTGTCCTGTGTTATTATTATAATTACTACATTGAGCTGATCTCCTTCGGGTGCCACTTTCTTGTCCATTGACAATCAGGTCTCAGGGCAGAAATTATGTAGAAAATCAAAACCAAAAAAACACTATTCTTTGTTGCAAAAGTCGTCACACAACAAAAATAAAAAATTTATTACCTTGAACGATCAGTTTACACACCAAAAAGTGAAATCATTTCTATAGTGATTTCTATGGGCCGCGTGAAATCATTGCATCATTGATCAAGAGGTATCGCGAAATATTTACTATAGGGTCAATCCATGTTTACTGTACCGTTACATTTGTACGAATTGTCATGCACTCAAGCAACATTGCAATCAAGGTTGTCGCTATGTTGGCACGATTGGTCTAATATGTGAAATGAATTACGAAATTATTAAAGTACAGCTCTAAAAAATAGGGGTAGGGGCAGGGCACGCGCCACTTGGTGGGATAATATTAAGAAGCAGATGGACCAGGACAACCTTAATATACAGACAACCCAGAACAGAGTTCTCTGGCGCAGATGTACCGGGAGACCCGACCCCAGATAAACTGGGAACATGGGTTGGACAAAGAAGAAGACAGCTGTAAAAAATACCAAAAAATAGTACTCCATCATTACTAAAATATATCACAATATCTTTGAAGTCAAGCTTAAGATGGAGTAGCGTCTTCTTGATGTATGTACATAATTTTGTTTAAAATTACAAAATATTATGAAAAATTACAAAAGCTTGTTTGATGAATGCTAATGTAATATAATATAATATAATGAAGGTGTGAAATTAAATAAAACAAGTGAGATCAATGATTATTCATTCCATCCATAACCTAATCTTGTGTGTGTGACTGAACAAGACATAGAAAATCGAGACTCTCTAGCCCGTCTACGATAGCTACTAATATCTGTTGTCATCATAACTCCTTTCATGTAGAATTTGAATAACTGTATATCTGAAGTGTGTACAAACTCTCGTTTTATATGCATGGGTTGGTCAATTTTGAGAATAAACATCTAAAAATCACTCATTACAAGCTTTATTTAGTTTGACATGTTTGTATGGGTCAAGTGACTATAAAAGTGGCAGAATACGTTAATAGACTTGACGGAAATTTTGTATTTACAACAATAATAATCTCACAGATCTAATACAATAATATTTTTCATTGTTGCAATTGCACCGTTGCACACATCCATCCATACTGGTTTATTTGCTAGATTTGTCAGAAAGGCGACGTACTCTTCAGATTTAGAGATAAGACTGTTGTATAAAGAGTAGAAAAGCTTCATATTAGTTCTCAAAATAGAATAAAATGATGGAATAAAACGAAAATAAACAGCAATTTACTCACCTTACAACACAGAGTAAATGTGGACCACAACGTAACATAATGTTGGAAACATCGTTTCTAGCGCTGATTTTCAGTTCAATAGCGATGTGTGGGAGTACCACAGGCATCGCAATCTGTTTTGTGATAAGTAATGTCGCAAAAGGATGGTGATTTGATAGTGCTAGTGATAATATGAAAGTAAAGAAATAATTTTAGAAACACGGCTTTTACAATAATATTAGTAACTTTTAGACGCACTCGGTGCTTTAGCGATTTTCAAAATCGCCTTACTTCCGATGGTCGCTGGTTCGATTACTCATGCACCGTGCCTTTTGTATTCATAATTATGATTTTTTTATTTTGTTTGGGTGTGTTCTATGTATACTATGTATATATTTACAAAATATATATAAGTATTTATATTAGTTTTTTAGTACTTATGAGCTTTGCTTAACTTGAGAATAGATGGCGCTGTGTGAATTGTCCAGGTTTATTATTATTTTAGAAACTTCCTTCTGAAGCTTATATAATTGATTAATCTCTTTTAACATATTGTAATATCTTCATTACAGGTTTTCATTTGAGCGGCGTGGTGCGCGCCCCGGCCACAGTTCCGCCCTGCTCAGAACCAGAAAGACTTTACAGAGTTACAGTTTCATTTGACAGGTAACATCTAGTCCAGTCTCTATTACAATTAAGTTTTGATTGTATAAAGGAAATAATACCATAATACAAAGTCATTTGTATGATTACCCAAGTCTCAACTATTACAATCGCCACACAGCTTACTCTGCAATCTGTTTCGGTCGCAGGGTGCAGATTAAACAGTGAAAATACAGGATAAAAAACTTGACACCTTAGTGTTTATGAATGACAAAGCGTGAATGGTATCACGGGTGTCACATGATAACGTGATGTCCATAGTACTGATCATGTATATAGGCTTACCACTTACTATAAGGTGGGCCATGAAATTGTTCGTCATTTCAATTAAGTAAAACTTGTTCATATAATAATAATAATATTTCAGAACAATTCACACAGCGCCATCTAGTCCCAAGCTAAGCAGAGCTTGTGTTATGGGTACTAGACAATAATATAAATACATGGATACATTTTTTTTAAATAAATACATATTATACATAGAAAACACCCAGACCGATACAAACAATCATACTCATGAATACAAATGTTTGTACCGTGCGAGGAATCGAACCCACGACCATCGGATAGTAAAGCGGTGTGCTAAACCACTAGACCACCGAAGCTGTCAAATATATATATTCAAATATGTATATGAATAGGAAACCGATTGCTCTAAATATAGATAAATCAGGACAACTCATAGGGTTTGTATTACGGGCACTGTACTACAGATAAATGATATATGACGGCCTCACTGGTCTAGCTGTTTAGCACACCGCTTTAGTTCCGATGGTCGCTAGTTCCAAGTTTCCTCCAACGTGGGAACATTTGCATTCATGAATATGATTGTTTGTATCGGTCTGGGTGTTTTCCATGTATATTATATATATTATTACAAAATATATATATATATATATATATATATCTAAGCAAGTATTTATATCAGTTATCTAGTTATGGGTATAACACAAGCTCTGCTTAGCATATATGGCGTTGTGTTATATGTCTAGCGTTATTTATAATTATTTTTAAATTTATATATTTTTGCCCCTTGTAATACTCCGTTTTAGAAGCTTCTTTGTCTGACATATTCATTGTTATGACATAACTAAGTACATGCAAATAACACAGTCTTTAGGATTACCTGACTACAGATAGTATATTTTTAAGTCACTCGTAATTCCGCCGTCAAAGATCTACTGTATATTCATTGTTAAGACATTACTGAGTACGGGCAGATAACACAGACGTCGGATCAACAAAGACTGAGTATCACGGGCGTCACGTGATAACGTGATGCGCGTAGCGATGTTCATGTTTACAGGCGACGATTAAAACACTCTCAGGTGCATTGCTCTGTTTCTTTGGCAATTCTAATAAATAGAAAGAAAGAAAAAACATTTATTGTCAACCATTATTACATATACACATTTGACAATTGTACACTTTACACACATATATATATAAATGTAACATAAATCTAAATGTAACATAATTTTTTGAATAAGAAATCAGTAGTCGACCCAAACCACAAATCACACTTTCTTTTCCTAAAACAACAATGAATTAAAAAGGTCACAAAGACCTTACCTATTGTCGGGCTAAAATCAGTAAAAGGACCCTTTTTTATTGTCGCAAAGGGCAACGCACCAGAATAATACCTTTGTTCTGTACGAAACTTTGTCAGCGCCATAATAGAAACGATTGTCTCATTTACTTTATGACTACCGTAAGGTTTTAACGTTTTTTTTTTGTCTAATAGAAAATATCTGTGGAACTAATTTCGTGTATTGGCTCATAGTAATACAAGAGGTATCGATATTTACATATAGTGTTTTAGCAATATCTTTACATATAGTATAACATTGAAGTCGGTTCCTTGCCATTTACATAGTATAAAAATAAAGTGGGTTCCGATATAATAATATGTTCGCTTAGATCTTTTAAACTACGCGACGGATTTTAATGCAGTTTTTAGCAATAGATAGAGTGATTCAAGAGGAAGGTTTATATATATTACTAGCTGTTCCCGCGACTTCGTCCGCGTGGAATTTAACTTTATTTTTCCAAAATAAAAGTAGCCTAAGTTACTCCATAATACAACAGCTACCTGCCAAAAAGAGTTCCGTCAAAATCTGTCCAGCCATTTCAGAGATTAGCCGGAACAAACAGACAGACAAACAAAAATTGTTATATATGCTGTAGTAAAAAACGGTTATTTCAATATTACAAACAGACACTCCAATTTTATTTATACGTATAGATGTAAAGATAAATGTAGTATGAGAATCCGGGGCGAGTAGATAGTTAGATATAAAACAATAACTTAAATAACTATGGCAGTTTGGAAATTGTCGAATCTTACTGAGCACATTAAAAAAAGCCACAACTACAAAATTCCACCGTGTCTCTCAAACCATGACGTTGGTGAAATCATCGGTCTAAATTGGTGGCAGCCATATAAAACAAAGATAAAGAACAGTGTTTTGTATTTTTTTTAATGAAGATAATATATAACCCTTGAGAATGACAAAACATTAATAAAATATTTGGCGGTTTAAGAATAAATCATTAAATACTAGCTGTGCCCGCGGAAAACTGCGTGAAATTTGTAGACTATGTATTATTCTGATGATATTATATTATTCTAATTACATAAATTAAAATAGAATCTGTCCGTTATGTTCACAGATGCAAAATCACAGGTGTAACGTGCAGTTGCGAAGCTCGGGACATATTCTGGTGTCAACATGTGGTGGCGCTGGCGCTGTACCGCATCAGGAATGCAGACTCCGTCAGGCTCAGGGTGCCTATATCAGGTGATTTTAAATATTGCATATCACTTTAAACATGGGGACTTTCAATATTGGATTCAATAATAGACTTAATGATGATAACAAGACGTGCTATGTTATTTTTTTTAATTTTTGGTACCTTTACTTATGTTACAATATCATTAAATATTTTAGACCTTTTTGATGATTTTTTGTTTTCAATGTATAGAGTTACATTTAATATATTTTGTTATATTATTATTTGGATATGAATATGATTTTTAAATTGACAAATAAAATCAAAAGTCAAAATTAGTCCTGCCAGCTAAAGATTAGCAAGCACAAACAGAAAAAAATTAAAAAAAAAACGTAAATGTCGTGTATATACAGTATTCACTATAAATATATATATTTTCATATGCATTTAGTGAAAAGCTGTTAACTAGATATTATAAACTATTAGACCAGCGCAACTCGTCCGCGCGTAGCTCGTATGATGCCTTTTTTGTCAGAATTCCTGTTCATAGGCCGCCATCTTGTGCACTCGGACTCGGACAACCGGAAGTGATAGCAAAACAGCCAGTTAAATGTTATTTATTTGTATATATAAATATTTTAATGCTAATTTGATTTAATTCCAGAAACGTTGTTGCAAATGGACAGACAACAGTTACAGAAGTTTGTGCAGTACCTCATAGCAGAGCACCATACAGAAGTATTGCCGACAGCGCAGCGTCTAGCTGACGAGGTGCTGCAGGCCAGGTGTGTATTTTTCTTATTAATGATGATAATGGACTGATGGATCATGCGCTAACGGTTTACGCTGACGGGGCACCAGTGGAGGATGATACGAAGAGCATGAGGTCAGATCAGTTAGCACACCTTGCCAAATGGCAATTTGTCATGATGGTTTGCAGGGAACTGCGTGGTGAAACTGATATGATATATTGCTATCAAATCAAATTAAAGTATCCTTACGAGTAGTAGTGTAGGTCTATTACAGACTCCTATTAATGACCTATCATAAGAGTCTGCAATATACTCATATATAGACCTACCGTCAGTTCGGAGTGCTTACGTGCTAAGGAGAATGGACAAGCTCTTATTCTTTTCAAAGGACCTTGTACATGTTTCCAAAAATATAGATTCAGTTTTAAATTCATTAGGGAAAATAGCGTGACTGTATATGCATAGCAATGGGCTTATTAAACTATATTACTAACAATCCCCTTTTCTCCTCCAGGTCTGCGATTAACAGGATCTGTGGAGCACCAGACCCCACCGCTGGCCCGCCTCCAGATGCTCATCACGCTTGGCATTTAGATGAACAGCAGGTATGAGGCTTATAAAAGTCGTTATTGTAAGATTTTAGTTATTAACTAAAGAATTTAGAATCATCTATTCAAATATTATTGAAGTTGAAGTTAATTTAAAAAAATAAATAAAACTAAAATGTAATTAGTCTACAGTGTGTTCGGTAATATTATAGAGTCTGTAGAAAGTGTATTGTTGAGCTAGTGAAATAAAAACTCGAGGATTCTTTAGAGTATTATGTTCCTTGCTCGAGTAGGTCGAGAAGAATAAAAATGTGTTTTGAGTTTTGAAGGTTATGTTTTTCAGAAGGAAACCTTCACTAGGATTTGCTATACCTAATAACATTTAATCTATAGTATAGTTTAGCCAATGTTACTTTTTTATTTTCTCGAAATAGTATATATATATAACTGTTGTTAAATAATTACGAGCGTAGAGAGAAACTGCAGTTAAAAAGATAACTATATCATTATATAGCAGTGGACGTTCGGATAAGCATAAAAGAAAACAAGTTAAGAAGGAATTGTTAGTAATGACCAGTGGACCCATTAAAAACAATCCTTTCTCCCCCATGGAATATGTTAAGAACTAAAAATAACATGAAACTGCTCTAATTCTCATTAAATTACATTTACATAATTAACTATTCTTTCCACCAGAATAGAGTTCTCAAAACGGCATTCATTCACGAGTGTGACGAATTTCGTAAACAAAACTCTTTATATATTTTCCAAATCAACCCCTAATTGTGTGAAATGAGTTCAAATAAGTGATAGGTAAAGGTTAATATTGTATTAATGACTATTTATGACCTTTCTTCGCCCACGTTACATCAAATCGGTAGATAGTAGATATCCGAACGTACGTACTACTGGTGTATAATTAGTGAGGCAATTATTAAGTCATTACAATGTATGTAGTGAGTTGTGACGGCCGTGAGATTATCTGTAAATGTTTTGTTGCAGGTCTGTGAACAAGTCCGCGCCTACTTACTACAGGGAACCTATTATAATGCGAATAAGCAACTTAATTCACTATTTTCGAAGGTAATTATTATTATTAAGAATTAATTGTTTAAATATAGAGCAATATTATATTTAAATAATGAAAATGAATGCTATAACAATCCAATTCAAATTAACCCCTCTTGTTACCGGCCCATAGGTAATCATGTTCTAAAAGCATTTCCTGGTTAAATTGCTAAAGAATTCCTTTGAGCCAGATACTATCCAGAACGGCAAAAATAAATTATAATTTAATTCCTGTACACAATCAGTTTCTCAAATACTATTACTGGCAGTCAGTCTGGTTCTTTTACCATAGAACTAGAGCCAAGAAGTCAATATTCAAGAAAGTGAGGTCCTTTCTCAAAAAAGCAAAGTGTTAAAAGTCGTGAAGATATATTAACTTGTAATTTTCATTATTTCAGGTTAGAGAAATGCTAAGAGCCCAAGACTCGAACGGCCCCAGAATGCTCATGTTAATGACAGAGCAGTTCCTATCAGACCCTCGACTCCTGTTGTGGAGGAACCAAAACACCCCCATGACAGAGAAATGCAGGCAACTATGGGAACAACTTGGTGCTCTGTGGGTCAGCATAGTGTTGGACCCTGGCAGCAATAAGAATCATAGGATGCAATGGAGGAATTTATTGGAGAAGTGGTCCGCAGTAGAAGTTTGTCCCACTGAGGATCCGGATTATAGGTCTTTTCCATTGGTAAGGTATATTTTCTTCTGTATATAATTTCTCTAACCTCATGAATCTCTAGTAACGCCAGTTTACTCGTATAAATCTTATATTTAAATTTCGTAGTCTTAGATTTAGAATACAATGTGTTAATAATAACCAAAGGTAATTCAGACAGCGCCATCTAGTTCCAAACTAAGCAAAACTTGTACTGCAAGTGCTAAATGATTGATAGAAACATATTATATGTTTTTTATAATTATAAAACTGATCATACCCATGAACATAAATATTTGTATCATACTGGAATCAAACCAGCGACCATCAGAAGTAAGGTGTCGTATTAAGCCAACAGTATTACAATATAGAAATAAAATATAGGTAAAAACGCTTACCGAATAATGGTGGGCCTAGTAGTTAGCCTGTAACAAGTCTCATGCATCCTATCGTAATATGATTTTAACCTATAATTTATACTTATATTTCAGTACGCAAGAGAAAGAGAAAGAAATGAGAGGGATCGCGACAGGGACCACAGAGACCGGGACAGAGAACGCCACCGTGACAGAGAGGAGAGAGATCGCGAGAGACTGCGGGAGAGAGAGGAGAGAGATAGGTGAGCATTGCCTATATTTATCAGGCAGTTGAATGTTATTAAATCACATGAGTAGAAAACCCTATTCTCACCTTTTCTTCCGTGAAACTGCAAGTGTTTGCTTTTTTTTTTTGGTAATTATAGGACCAAACTGTTTTCTTGTGGATATCTTTATGAGGTATATTGATTTTTAATTTTAATTTTATTTCATTGAAAAATGTTGTTTTGTAATAAATACCATATACTTATAAACGATACAACATTATAAATAATAAAACCTCATGATTTTATTAAATACTTCTATAACTATATTACTATAGTTAATGAAAGTGACAGTTGACCCAATTTTGGCTAATATTTTATTTGTAATCCATATTTTTTAATTACATTAAACTTGTACTAAAATGGAAATGAAGAAAATGTCCCCACATTTTGGTAAAAGAAATGCTCTATATTCAATATTCCATTTTGTTACAGAGAAAGACATAGAGAAAGACAAAGAAGAGAGATGCATTCCCATTCTGAAAGTTCTGACGAAGAATCTAGGCCTAATAAGTAAGTTTTAATTCTGTTATTGATTATTTATCTTTCCAACATTAGATGATGTAAAATTGCTAGGATGTTGTAATAATTATATCTCTTTACACTCCCAGAATCTTTTAAATCACCAAATAATAATAAAAATAAAAATAAAATCAGTGATGTGTATTATGAACTCTTATTCCTATTCAGTTTACGGCTTAAACTACCTGGAAACTGACTGGATTTTAAAGAGTTCATAATACGCCCCCTGAAGTAATAATGAAAAAGACAGATTTCCATTTACATACTCTGTTCTTTTTACGGTTTTATTCTTATGGACGATATTGGAATGGTGCTCCCGCTGGCGGTAACGGTCTACGCTGGCCGGGCACCAGTAGAAGATGATAAGATGATTAGGTCAGGTTATTTAGCCCATCATGGTAAATTCACCATGAATTTATCACTATGATTTCCAGAGGGAATCACATCTGGTCAACCTGACATGGTGCATATAACAATGGGGTTATTAATCCACATTACTAATAGTGCCCTTCCTCCTTCTTTTTATGGTTCTCCACCTTAACCCATGGACTAATCTTCTCCATATCAATTCCTTATTGAGAGGTTATTATTTGTTTTCAGCTATGAACGTGAATATAGGAGAGCAAGTAAGAGACTCAGGTTACACAATCAACGGTCCGCGCCGCAGAGCGCGCCGCGCACTGTGTTTCATAAGTGAGTAATTTTGATATATCTTGTACCACAGCTTCACATGGGTGGTTAGGCACAGATTATTACTTAAAACTGTTTTTGACGATTTTATACAATTGTACCTATTATGTAATCGGATTATTTTCCAACATAATCTTATTTATAAACTCTCAATATTTCGATGGATCGATCTTTTTCATTTATCACCGTGTTAATTTAAAATGATCGTATATAATGCGTACGTGAACTAGTAATTGTTGATACGAAAAAATTACGAAAAAATGCCTTCAAATTTCTAATATCTTAGATAACTTTTTTACGATCCAAGTATTGCTGAGATTTCGCATTTGTTTAATGTTGCTTCCTGTAGATAAAACATAAAATCCTTTCTCTATGACTATTAATAAATATAGTTAAGACCTCGGTGAAGAACTGTCCTTCATTATCCGATAGCGGTTTCGATTCCAGCACAATATTCATGAGTTGACAAAGACAATGATATTCATGATTCTGTTTGTATTGGTGTGGATAATTATCATTAAATAATCTGGTATATTTTAAAGTAATTTCATTATTTGTACACAGAGCATTGGACGCGGTAGACATATCTTGGGAGAATGATCACCTGAAGAATATCCTGGGCAGCGACGAGTATTCCGACCCTGAGAAGCCTTCGGAGAAGGCTGGTGCATCTGTCGCCGCTCCGCAGTCCTACCCCAAGTTCAATGATCTCGGACAACCTTTATGGCATGGTTGGTGTATTTTTTATATATAACGGAATAACATTATTTAAAAATTTGATATTTACAATTTAGCCTTTGAGATTAAAAAAATGACTATAGGTTACCGTTGATGTGAAAGAAGATTACGGGGTACGGAAGCAGATATGAGCTTTAACAAACTCATACACCTGATAGTAAGTAGCAAACGTCGCTGATATATTGAAAGGGTACATAATAAAATTAAACTATAGTCCATTCTATTACTATTTTATGAATACACTTTATCACTCATATATCGCAAAAACGGAAAAAATCGTAGCGGCAGGGTGTCCTTCACTCTGGGCAAAGCATGACAGACGGACGGCAGACTGACTCGGCTCACCAAGGACGTTCGTAGTAAGAGCAGATTCGCATACAGCGATAATATTGTTGACATCCCCGCTACAGTAAATTTCTCCGTTCAATATGTGTTCAAACTCTTCATTAAAGTAACGTTGTCATATGACAAATTGGGATCATTTTGATGATGTGACGGGTACCTCTAATAATGTAATTTTTGAATATTAAGGTGTCATGCCCCTTTACCCTGTAACTATCTATTACATCAATGTAACCTAGATATTAGACCAGAATTTAACAAGATAAAGTTAACCTGCTGATTAGGCCTTAAGTGTAGTGACTAAGTATTTGGTACTTTACAGAGCACCTGCCAGTGGTAGGGGCCCGTATAGAGGCGTTGCGGGCGACGGGCCGGGCTCCGGCTGCGCTGCGGCTGGCCGTGGCGGCAGCGAGGGCCATGAGACACCGACAGGTACGCGACTACTCATCTATAGAGAATTTGAATGGATGATAATGCAATTTCCCACCCGCCTGCGCTAATGATTTACGCTGGCGGAGCACCGATGAGGATGATAAGATGAAAGGCAGGTCAGTTAGTCGTGACAAATTCACAAGGAATTTATCACGATGGTTTCCAGGGAAGTGGAGATGTGAGAATTTGATTGGTGAATTGCTAGCAATGGGGTCATCAGTCCCTATTACCAACAATCCCCTTTCCCTCCTCTATAGAGAATTAGTAATGCTTAAACAAATTAAGCAGTCGATATTCAGTAGTATACAACTTTATAAATTGCATTTTTTTCTATTTTATTTATATCAGAATAATGAAACAAAATATTTCATACAAAAACTAATTATATAAATAATTTGTTGCAAAATATACAAGGAGTTGCTTAGTAATCATTAATATATCTGAAGCAAGTCAAAAGAAACCTAATAGTAATGAGTATCGATCGGTATTCGTTCGGTAGGAGGTGGCGCAGCACCGATGGCACGAAGCGGGCGGCGGCGAGGCTTCGGGCAGCAGCACGTGCGGGTCGGGGGCGGGGCCGGGTGCGGGGGCGGCGGGCGCGGGGGGCGGGGCGTGTGCGGGGGGCGGGTCGTGCTCGTGCGGAGAGCGCGCGCGCCTGTCGCTGGTGGTCGCGCACATGGACGCCGGCACGTGCACGCCCGCCGCCGCCACGTGCGCGCTCTCGCACTCCCAGCGCTGCATCGGCAGAGGTCTCCTCATACTTACTATTATACTACCTGACCAGTAACTTTAAGTTTGTCACATTTTGGCAGTTTTTGAAATTCTTTTCATTACTACTTCTTTGGTTTGGTTTTAGCTTTCTAGCCCATAGCCTTCCTCGATAAAATTGACTTTCATGTCTCGCCTTTGACATTAAAACAGCCTGTACATCAAAATTAATGGCAGAATTAAATAGACAAATAAATTGACATCCTAATCAACATTTTTGCTACAAATTACATTTCAAATACCTAATCAAAAATTCACGAATACTTTGTTCTTTACAAGACTTGAGTGTAGTCGCATTTTCATTTATTTCGGAAATAACTTCAAAAATTCACTCTCATAACAATACTTATAATATAAATAAAAAATATCACTACTTTTCATAACTTTGTACATTTCCATTTGAGCTGCTAAAACAGAACCGACCTCCAAATAAAACATTACTTATATTTCGTCAAACAGATAGCAGATGCTGGACGGGGTGGACGTTAGAAGCCATCTGGTGTGTGTATGAGTGCCTGGCGGATGCGTGCCTAGCGCCTGATGATCAGCGAGCTTCGCCGCGGCTCCACACCGCCTACCTGGACGAGGAGCCTAACACTGGTCTGCCACCCAGGTAATTGACCTTCTATTTTTCACTATCTATTGAAATGGAATAATGGAACCAATGTCTAATGAAAGATGGTAACAGTGCATGTAATTTTTATAACTATGGAATAATTCATACAGTTGCTCTATCAGTATAGGATCCGAGATAGGGTATCTCGTCACCAATGGAAGATGATAGATACGATACGGATGAAGTAAGGTCCGTTGACCCACGGTGTGAATTTATCAGGAATTATCAGGAATTAAAAATGATTGATTTTTAATTTATCGTTATCATTTATCAACCTATAACAGCGACAATAAAAGATCATTCGAAACGATATGATATCCGATAGGTCAAAAGGAAATAACGATGTTTTCAGATATCAATGTTTCTTGATTCGTTCGATAATTATTGTATTTCAATACAGGGATGCAGGGAAGGAGCAGGGATGTTTTGGATATGAAATTTCGGATACGGATAGGTTTCGGATACGGATATGAAATTATTTCGGATCATCCGTTAGTTTCGGATAATTTCGGTTACGGATTAGATTTTTTAAAGAATTTCAAAAGTAAAATAGAAATAGCTAATAAAATGGTTTTATTTCAACATTTGGTAGTTTTTTTAGGCTCCGCCCCTATCCGATATTACCGTAACCGTATCCGAAACAAAAGTTTGGGATTCCCCTTACAGATCGGATATCCGATAGTTTCGGTTACCGAATAACCGTATCCGAAACAAAAGTTTGGGATTCGGTTACGGTTACGAATATTTTTTTATATCGGATATCCGATAGTTTCGGTTACGGTTACGGAGCTCCCTAACATCCCTGCTATACAGATGGACAATTCCTAAACCACCGGTACATAGTGACGGTTTTGTCGTAACAGGTACCAGCATGTACCAGTGGCGGGCAGCAAAAACCCTGAAGAAACCTACCTGGCGCTCGCGCTAGAGGCCGCGCTGTTGGGCCTCGGCGTGCAGAGAATGCTACCTAGTGGCCTTTACGCACAAGAACGGTATTGTAAACAGGTTAGTGATATTATTTATTTATTTCATTTATTAAAATACCTACCTATATGGAAACATATATATTTTAAAGAGTTATGTAAACTAAACGTCCGATAATGCAGATTACATTACCGTCTCCGATAATAAACAACTTTCTTTCCGGCCGTAGATTATAAGACGAATATGAAGTCAGTTCATGTATGCCAAAGTAAGCCTAAGCGTATACTGGCGCAGCAAACGTTAGAAAGTCACAGAGATCCGTACAGGCTGATGTCATCGGGGCACGCGCTTGCGTCGTGTAAGCCTATTGTTTACCTGTTCTGCTGCCGTCGTATAGGCTTATGCTAAAAGAGTGGTTCTCGACAGGAGGAGCGTCTGATCGCGCAGCTGCAGCGCGTGGAGGGCGAGGCGGCGGGCGGCGTGTGCGCGCACGTGGCGCGCGCGCTGCTGGCGGGCGGCCCGGCCTCGTGCCTGGGCGCGCGCGTGCACCCGCGGGCGGCGCCCGCGCACACCTTCGCGCGCTTCCTCTTCCTCGCGCTGCTGCCCGCCGACCCCGACCTCGCCTACCGAGTCGGCCTGCGCGCCATGCGGTCAGTGACCAAAAAGAGTATATTAAGATTTCTTAAGATAGAGTAAGGCACACGACATCCTCTAAGCATCCATACGCTACGGTAACCGAACCGTTTACCATCAGTCATAATAACTGATGGTAAACGGTTCGGTTTTTGGTATATTTGCCATCATTGTATTACAAAAACTGACTATGTGATAAAAAATAGTGATATAATCCATAGATGAAATGTAAACAGAGTTTGCTCTACTATAAGACTAGATGACCCTGGTGTTTGTACATAATGTATGAAGTTATTTCTATACATGTTTGTACTGAGATCTCTGGTATACATGCAGGCTGCCGATGGTGGAGGAAGCTTACGCGCTTGACGGCGCGGGGTTGGCCGGTAGCGGTGCGTTAGCTGGCGGCGCTGCGGGGGTGACGGGCGCGGGCGCCTGGCACACGCTGCAGCACGCTGAGCAGCAGCAGGCAGCACTCGCCAGCGCACTACTAGGTTAGTTCACGTAGAATATCCACATGCAACTAGGGCGAACTAACGCCTAGACAACCTAACTACTTCACTCTTAAGTTGAGAATGATGCTACATTATTATTTCTCCTACGTATAATATTTGTGTGATCCAGTGCGCATTGCACAGGAGCGGCGTCAGGCAGCCCGACGCACACACTCTTAAGTCGAGAATGATGCTAGATTATAATTTCGGCTTTAAACTTATGTGATCCTGGTGCGTGTTGCGCAGGCGCCGCGCGAGGCAGTCCGGCCCGGCTGCGTGCGGCCCTGGCGGCGGCACAGCGTCACGTGCGGTCCGCCGCGCAGTTGTTCCGGCTCGCGCAGGACGCGTTACGTCACGCCGCGCCGCCCGACGCGCCGCACCACCACCGCGATCTACTCGCCGCCGCCTTCGAACTCGGCCTCCAGGTAACTACTGTACTCCTGCCTGCTGCTGTACTCCTCTTACTGCTGCTGTCCCGGCTCGCGCAGGGCGCGCTATCCCACCTCATAATCAACTTGTCGCAGTAAGCCTGCGCCTGCTTTTTGTACTCAACTTTCAGGAAGGTTTTCTTCTACCTACCTATAAGCGTGCTTAATAGACAACTTGCTTTCAGAAAACTCTTCCACTAGGTATCTACAAACATACTACTTTAGATTTGTGATTTTAAATTATAAATATTTTTGATTACAGGTCTTGCGGATGACATTGTCTTCGGTAAATTGGCGGAGGCGAGAAATGGTGCGTTGGCTGGTGACCTGTGCTACAGAACTTGGATTGGACGCACTGCTCTCTATTATGCAGAATTGGTTAGTTATTAATATGTCTGCATATAAACTATAATTTACTTTTAATACCGAATAAGGTATTCAGAGAATTGATTAGGGTATTTTTCACAATTACTTACAGAAAGAATTGCGATATTAGTCGCCTAACTATCGCATATTCCTAACGAGTATAACTAAATCTAGTCTTTTTTTGAGTAGATTAATAATAAGTTCGTTTCATAAAAAAAGAATAAGCGATCTTAAATACTTTTTCCAAACGTAAAACATTGTTTTTCTATGAAGGTACGAGCTGTTTACGCCGACGGAAGCGACGGGCCCGGTGGCAGCGGCGGCCATGTCGCATGCCACCGCTCTGCGGCTCGGCCTCACCTTCGAGCAGCAGGAGAAGCTCAGCGCCTGCGCACGCACGCTGGCTCTGCAGTGTGCCGCCAAGGTATTTAACATTATAGTCTATTCGTTAGTAACTGATATGTAGACGTCTAATAGTTTGTTTAAAGATATGTAATTCGTACGACATTATTTCTTAGAACTTTTTATTATTTTAGTTTGGGTCCAAATCGTTCCATACTCGCTGTTTTACAGGGGTCATATATATTCAATTCAGTCGGACGGTTGTCCTTTGTTACTTTCGTTATAGAAATACATACAATCCTTATTCAAATAAACTCAACAGAAGCACCTTTGAATAGTCATATTTTTTATTCTATGACTCATTCATCATAAGAAAGCAAGAAACTTATGATATGTGTATAATTGGTGCATTCCAAAGTCGCAGCTGCCAAATAGACGAACCGAACGAAAGTCGCATAGTTCAATAACGTACTGAACGGAAAAATGTGAGTTGTTACGTGTGCGGTGTCGCAGGACCCGCCGGGGTGCGCGCTGAGTGCGCTGTCGGTGTGCGAGGGCTCGGCGGGAGCGTTCGAGGCGGCCTGCGCGGCCGTCGGCGGCGCGGCGGCGCGCGGCGCGCTCGCCTCCAGCCAGCTGTTCGCAGTCGCGCGCTACATGGAGCAGCGCGGACAGCCCGCGCGCGCCATGCGCCTCGCCACGCTCGCCATGCGCAACCTGCACCTGCACTACAACCAGGTACGCTCGCCTCCAGCCAGCTGTTCGCAGTCGCGCGCTACATGGAGCAGCGCGGACAGCCCGCGCGCGCCATGCGCCTCGCCACGCTCGCCATGCGCAACCTGCACCTGCACTACAACCAGGTACGCTCGCCTTCCGTCCTTCTGCGTACATATGTACAGACGTATATAGCGGCGGATGCTGTATGTTTGGCTGTCTGGTTTCACATTTCTACTACTAAACAATTTAATTAATGTTAATGAAATTTAGCTTGAAGATAGATTTTATAACGATGATGGACATTTGCTTTCTTTTATCTCAAAAGACTACTGTCACGATAGCTAGTAATATATAGGAGCTATAAAAGTTTATCGTCTTTTTAAATTACAGGACAGCCACCCCGCGATCGCGGACATCCACTGGGCGGTGGCGCTGGCACACTCGCTGGGCCGCGCCGAGCTGCAGGCGATGCTCCCGCTTCTCGTCAAAAACGTGCAGTGTGCACCCGTGCTGGTCAGTATACAATAACTCTTATAACAACGGTATCTGATATATTGTTATCTGTGATATATGTTCTTGAATAACACAAGTTATATAAAGTCGATTCATATTAAACATCTAATAAGTTAATCGAATTTCTTCAAGTATCTATGGGTCATATTTATAAAAAAACGTTGTTCTACTGAGCACAAGGCTCTTTTATGTGACTTTTAAGTGACTTGGCATACATACGCCATATCTTACGAAATAGTGTGTATTATCGTAAATAAGCGTGACTCAACGACATATAGAAACATATATACGTTTACAAAAGTTACTTCTAATAACTGTTTAAATAATAAAGGCCAACTCCCGTTTGACGGATACGGCTGTAGTCTGTAGCACCGCTAGGGGTTCGAACCTCAGCTCAGACCGTCGTAATTTCAATTCCCGTTTGAATTGGACGGGGGATCATCGGAGGGGCAGATGTCGAGTGCGTGTGTTGAGCGTGCGGTGTGCGTTGCAGTCGGACGTGCTGCGGCGGTGCTGCGTGGCGGCGGCGGGGTGCTCGCGCGCGCGGCCGGCGCCCCCGCGCCCGCCCACGCCGCTGCGGCCGCTGCTGGAGGCCGCGCTGCGGGCCTACGCCTCCACCACGCACGCGCGACTCGCGCACATCTCGCCCAGGCACTACGCAGACTTCGTAGAATTCCTCGGTACGTACACCAGCGCCGACCAATTATAATAATAATATCCCTGAACAATTCACACAACAGACAACACCCCGACCGATATAACAATCATAAGTAATACAAATGTTTATAAGGTGGTTTTTTTCGAACTATTCTAATGCTGTTGGTCGCAGCTGGCCTACAGCTTCACTGAACGATACTGAATAGAAAACGAGTGCAGATTGCACTTCTAAACTGCGGGTACGGTTGCATGTGTCTTAAAATATGTGTGTAATGATTCGTAGTGACAGTGATGGGATTGTATGATAACTATAAATGCGAAAGTCTGTCTACTTCTTTGTAACCTTAATGAAATAAATTTTTATATTTATATGCTATCTCTTATCACACAAAATGGATGAAGTGGATGAACAGTTATTTACTTTAAAATGTTTGTACAGGCAAAGCGCGTGACACGTTTGCACTCGCCCACGACGGACCTCACCAGTTCGCGGCGCTGCTGCAGGAGATCAAACTCAAGTACAAGGGCAAGAAGAAACTCATGTTCCTGGTCAAGGAGCGCTTCGGCTGAATGCCTGTTCGTCCACCGACATTATTATTCCAATGCAATATGTCCAATAAAAAAGTTAAGTTTGACTTTCGAATTTGGCACCTGTCACTTGAAGTTTGACATTCAAAATGACATTTGGTTATGTCAGTTAGAACGTTATTTAAAACAAATGTTCTTTTTTTGAAAAACTTTTTTTGTGTAAATTTAGTGCAATCGTTTCTTTTAAATTTTTACTTGTTTTTTGTTGACACAGTGCAATAGAAAACCGTGTATATATTTTTCGTAATCACAATGTGACAATATGTTATGTAAAAAGAACATGTCCCAAAATATTAGACCATTGCGGTCATTGAGGTATTATATTAGAGATGACGCTATAATTAAGCTATACCCAGTACGAAATAATGTGAGCGTTTGAGAAATATAATGAAACAGACACTAACATTTAATTATTTACGTATCTAAATACTCAGCTCGCCATCATTTCATGAAAATAACAAATTTGTCTATAAAAATACATGATTGCAATAAAGAGTGTCAGATGAATGACGGTGTGCAGTGTGGCTATATCACTGCAATTGATTGGGTCTATAATACGACGTCTCTCTAGTACTTTAGTACAGAATACAGCAATGGTTGCGGACTGCGGTAGACGATTACCTCATGTAATGGTACTAGTGTACATTCGCGTACCAAACCAGTCTATTCTAAAGTATTATTTAATTTAATTACTATAGCTAACTCGTGAACGTCATGTAATTTGTAAGTAATATTATAATGATCTCAATGATTCCATTTGTGTAAATAGTTATAGGGTTATGTAAATATATGGCAATGTAAGATTAGTACTGAGAATTATAGTTGTTATAAGTAGTCCTCCTGCGTTTTGTGAGCGCAATGTACTTTTATATAATCTGTAAATTGCTGATTTATTCGGTATTTAGCCGTTGCGAACACAAAACGCAGAGCGTTGGTAGGTGAATAGTGCGCCATTCTTATAGCGTCCAATAGCAATGGATAATCATTATGAAAATGACACAACACCAAAGAAATATATAGTAAGTCCAAGTGTGAGATAAGCAATGCCATCATTGTTTCAGTATTCTCGAGTATTCGATACATATAGTTATATGTTTCTACACCTTTTTCTTTTTTACACTTTTATACCGATTTCGTATTTTGTTGTCTTCATCCAATGTTATATATTATATAAAACTATGTTATTCATGTTCATAATATCACATGTTTAAAAATCATTAATAACTAAAAAATTACTATTATTATAAAATCGCCTTTTACTTATTACAATTAAAGTCGATTTTCGTTGAGTTTATTATCTAGCATGATATACAATGTATTAAACGGAAAAGGTATATATAATAACCCCTAAACCCAGTGATGCGAAGATCTCAATTATGCGCCATCTTGCCACATTTGCGCGGGAAGTTATGGCGCGATTTTTGCAGTCAATATATTCGCTATTTACTTGATAAAGCTACATGCTCAGTTGAAAAACAAAAGGTTTCGGAATACAACGTATTCTAAAATACTATATTACACACTTTGAAACTCAAATAAATATATACCCTGTCCGTTTGTATTTCTAACACCACAGAGTATATATTTCACTTTATTTGCATTTATTTTTTATTTTTCTAAATACACCTTTCAGCCAGTTATTTTAGTTATTTTTTTACCATCATAATTTCTGTAGGTATAAAATTTATCAAGAAGTGCATTTATAAAGATAGAAAAATAATATTTAAATATAGTGGACGAAGATTGGACAGTGTTCAGAGGTTAAGGCGGAATAAAGGCATAGTGTGTAAGTTTATTGAAGGACTTTTGTACTTTTTGTGGTGTGAAAGAGGGTTGGGCAAAGTACTAATAATATAAATATAATCAGCTCATAAAATAACAATACAATATTATAAAATCCATCTTAAAACGAACTTTAGGACCCAGTGGTGGATGCAGTGGAATGTGCGTTCAAAACACGGATACAAGATCAGTAAAAGTAAATTCTCTATATGAATTTCATTTAAACAATCTCAATATTTTAAATTTTGGTATTAGTAATTCAGTATAAATATGATATCCGTGTTATTTGCTATTTAAGTATGTTGGCGATAGGTTTTAAAGGGAATTAATTAATTAAAGGGAATTAGCAAGTAAACTTACCTAAAATAATAATGTGTGCCAAATAAAATTACACCAGCAATCACATAAAAAAATATATATGACACAAAATGCACCGTATCACTGGGTCATTAAGTAATAAAACACTATACAAATTTGAGAAAATATTTTGCCAACCCTGTGATGTGTCAAATCAGCAAAGGAATGTAAGAATAATGAAGTGTTATCACAAAATTAATAACTCGACATTAGTTTATGTTAATAGAATGTAAATATAAAGCGAATTGTTTAGTTAGAGCGCTGAGATACATCTTATAGAGACTTCCAGTATCTTCCCAATCAGTGATTCATTTAGATTTATAATAAAAGTCAAGATATACAACTTGATATACGGAAAGGACGTTTTCTATGTTGGTTTTGTAACACATATGTACATAATTTATGTTAAACACGATTTACGCCGAAAATCGTTGCTACGCACCTAAGCGACAGCATTTTATCTTGAACACAATAAAAGCAAAAATAAAGTATCTACACATTAAGTTAAGGTTCATATTTGCATGGAACTTATACTAACTACTCTATCAACTTGGACGATTTTGAAATACGTCATTTCTCACATCAAATGGTGAACGTTATATTTTCTATAGAGATACTTTAATATTCTTTACCAGTACATAAAATGCACTGCCAGTCGACCCAGTGCTCATTCGGCGTAAATCTTACTCTATATTGAAAACGAACAGACATGAATTGTTGCAAAACCAACAATAAATATCATAACGATAAATATCAAAAGTTCTCACAAATAAGTGATCAATAAATTTCATAGCATGTAGGTACTTCACAGGTAGAGCTGAGACGAATAATATGACCTTAATAAACCTTATGTATTTTTTATTTAACAAAAAAAACTTCTGGTTGATTCTTAAATATATTATTTATTTAGTAGTATTGGTTTGTAAATTGAATAATATTTGAAAGAACAGCTATACTGGTTATAATAGTAATGAATAGAAATAAACATTTTAGATACATAAACTCGAATACACACTATTTGTCGAATCGTAGCGTCTTTTCCGTAATATTCAAAATTGAGATATATTAATGTATTCTCTGTAATGTATACTCGGCTTTTAAATAATTGCATAAAATTATGAATCAGCTTGCCTTAAACAATAGATCTTTACATGAAATACCTACAATATAGCCTAAAATAAAACAAAATCGGCACTGTACCTACAGCGAGGTTATGTGCAGACTGAATTATTTTACTTAAACATAAAATCGAAAGAATTTTATATAAAATTACATTTTCTACAATGTAAACTCATTTAGTCTGAACATAGTCTAGGTAATAATGAAACGTGTACAATTATTTTATAATATAATTACTGATTTGTGTAATGCAAATAAATTTAATATAGAGCAATAATTTTGTAGCCTTGAGCCGGTCTGTTGTGAAACTGTATTTTGGGAGGACTTTAGAGTGTTGTTTGTTTTTATTTTTGATATATTTATTGAGCTGTAGATGATTATTGTAAAATTTAAGTTACAACTAAATACTGTGGATGACCATAGATTACTGTAGAGATATCTAATAATTTTAAAAACAAAATACAGTCTATGAAACTCGCTGATTTTACTTTCTCCTCTCTACAGGTGAAAGAATTGTTTAAATCAATTCAGAATATTTTGAGCTTATAATAGTTACTTATATTAAAAAGTAGGAAATAACTTTATATTTATAATGAGAATCTACAGCCGTTATTATTTGTAATTATTTATTTTAAATGACTTGCCAAGTTGTAACTCCAAGCAAATAAATATTTGACCTCAAGTGCCTTTAGGCAAGTCCATATTAGCCAGACCGGCTTTGCCATTGTTTTCGTTGATTTTTCTTTTATTCACTATTAATATTCCGATCAGTGTCAAACAATCATTTTGTGTAATCATTGTGTTGAACGTATAACGTGGACACCCTTCAGTGCTGGTATTAAGATGGTGATAATTTCAATATAAATAATTGAAAAATATTCATGTTCTTTTTATTCAATCCCTCAAACATAGACACTGTACAATAGCTGATAAAATAATAAGCAAGCTAATAAAATAATAATCGGCCTCGGTGGCATAGCGGTTTAGGACATCGCTTTACATTAGCCGCGGGTTCGATTCCTCGCAGAGCACAAACATTTGTACTCATGAATATGATTGAATCGATGTTAATGTTTTCTGTGTATATTATATATTAAAAAAAATATCTATTGCTTAACATGTATTTTCCCTATTCGTTTCATTGTATGAAATTAGAGCAGAAGAAATATGACATCTTAGACCCCTGGAATGCCAAAATGGTAGCATGAGTGGTATCACGGGTGTTACATGATAACGTGATATCCGTAGTGCTGTTCATGTATACAGGTCACGATTATCATTTACAAAAAGGGGTGGCGGGGGCGGTTCATTTTCATTCATTAAAACAATAGGTAAGTATAATTGAAATATATTCTATAGTTACATTTATGAATTATGGACTTTATTATCATTTATTTTTATTCTGACACGGACATAGTTTCTGTGTTTCAATGTTTTTATCTACTTTTGCCCGCTCAATTTGTTTCACTTTTCCGTTACCTTCCTGACTATTCTGTATCGCATTAAAATTTTCCTCTACATTGACATGTTCTTCGTTTGTACCCTTAAGGGTACCACGTAATTTCACTTCATTAGTTTCTTCATTATTTTCTCTAACTTCTTCCTCTTCTTGGAGCTCGTCGTATCCGAGTACTAGAGGAGGCAAGACTATTAAACTTGCCGTTCGATTCTTGCCTTCTATCTACGACATTAGTTATTTTGTTAATAATTTTATTATTTATTGCACTATTAAAATGTGTACAGTAAGCCATATAGCAAAGTTGTTCACAAATACCAAATGGCTTTAAGTATTTAAAGTATCCGTCACTATATGCATGCCTCGTGACCATATGTAAATTTCATTCGTCATATTTCTCTATTTTGTTTGTTTGTGTTTCTTTTCGTCATTTTTCTTTATTTTGGCAAGAGACTACTAAGCCTAACAAACAGAAAATGAACGGGTAAAATTTTGGAATTACTCGAAATTAGTGATCATGGGTATTAAAATTTAATGTTATTATGGGAAATAAAAGACGCAAGAGTTTTATAAATCATATGATTAGGGTGAACTAATCGACATGTTAGCATGTGCTTCAATCTAGTGGATAAGGTAGTAGCAGTAATAGTAAGGTTTGTTTAAATAAAAATTACTATTTATATATTTAAATTATTTATGTAGGTACTTACCACTGCCGCACACAGCGTTATAAAAATCACATGCAATAAAAACATGATTGCATTACATTCATCGAAGCCGTTAAATAATAAATAACATTCGTACTTTATTGCTTGCTCAATAACAATAGATAAACAGAAAAATATACATTTGCTGTATTTTTATATTTCTAATATTTCTATATATTTCTAATAAATACATAATTATTTATTACTAGCTGACCGCGTAACTTCTTCTGAATCACTTATTTGACATTACATATTAATTTATTTCGCACAATTTACATATCTTTTTAAATTATAGCCTATATGGTTTTGCTATGTTATAAGCTATATTACTGTAAAGTTTCATCAAAATCCGTCAGTAGATTTTGCATGAAAGAAAACATCTATTCGTCTATTCATTCATATGTATATAATTTAATTATTATAACATCAACTAGGTGAAGTCGTTGTTAATGATGGAATAATGATTTGTGGAAATATAGCCATTGGTTACATCCCATATTATGGTTACATTTCCCCTTCCCTCATACTTGGCCCAAGGTGTAGTACTACATCTAAACCTCGTCCGGTGCTAAGCGTTCTTCATCTGCAGTAGTTGAATCGTTTGTGGTCCCGACTGGCAAAGTTGCGTCCGCATCTGGTACGTCTGGTAATCGCGATAGCTCGACGCCAGCATCCCGTAACATTGCCAATAATGATGCCAGACAACTTGCCAACTGGAAACAATAGCAATACCCCGAAAGGTAGAGTAAACTTTACCAAAGGTAGACTAAAAAGACCTCTTTGTAAGCACTTAAGTCTAACCAAGTTACATGAGCCCCCAAGCCACCTTTTTAATAAGCTGTATTTATGTTGTGGTGCGGTTAGACAGTGAAATTACAGAAAAGTGATGTCTGAGACCTCGAATGGCAATGCATGATAATTCGATGTCCGTAGTGCAGTTCATGTCTGCAGGCGATGATTATCGTTTACCATCAGGTAGGCGGTCTTGTTGTTTGAGCTGGCTTTGAGATCATTATGACGTATTACTATTTAAACTTATTGACTCCGAAAGTCGTGAGTTCGAATTTTGGTGTTCTGGCCGATACCAAAAATATTTCAATAAATTAAATTTGTAGTCCAAACACTTTTTTAGCAGATAGAGCTTAATTATACTCCGTCTGGATTTTGTTTGTAATGGATAAATTCAAATTAACCGATTTTATTAACTCTATCACATATAAATAATAAATCGTATAGATACTTTTATAAAAATATACCGATGTACTTTACCTGACTATCAACTTTCTCTTCTCTATTTATCAACTCCGCTGAAACTGCAGCCTCCTCTACAGCTTCAAGCAGTCTACCAGCCCGCGCGTGCCGTCCAGCTAGGTTTAACCTGATTAGGGGATCTTCGGGGGCCAACGCCATCGCTCTGGCATACGCTGCATCAGCTCGACTGTCTCCGAGACGTTCCAGAGCCACACCTATAAGGAGCACCTGTTGTAACAAGTCTAATCATTGTTAAATGCTTTATGAAAACAACAAGATGACTATTGGTTAAAAAAAACAATCTTTTTCTATGCAATACATAAATAGCTGTGCCCGCGACTTCATCTGCGTATTATAGGGACCTTGACCAAAAATCAAGAAAATTATTCTTCCTCCTAGCTTTATACAAATGTCGATTTTCTTAGGGGTAAAATTTTCACAAACTTTGAATGTTATATTTATTTATAATTAATAGACAGCCTAAAACATAAGTTTCAAGCTTCAAATTTTAAAAATGACAATACTGCCATACAACCTCATCACCCCTTTCAACCCCTTACAACCCTTTAATAGCATTATAAAGTATTCGTCTTTAGTTACTTAGTATTAGTCTATGTCTTTTCTCAGGGTCTAGACTATCTGTATACCAAATTTCATTTAAATTGGTCCAGTAGTTTTAGTCTGAAGCCAGACAGCTGGAGTTACTTTTGCGTTTATATTAATAAGGATAAGAAAGATTATGCGTGCCAACAGAAGTGTTCTTCAGAACTGACCGTATATGGTTGAGTAGGTTGTAAAGCGGCTGCCGTCGCTAGTCTACAGAATGCTGATGTAGGTCTTTTACACATCAGCAGAGTCAAGCCGAGGTCATGAGCGGCTCTAGCACTAAGTGGAGCCGCCCAGACTGCTCGCTGCAGACATGTCAGAGCCTGAAATCCGAAAAGACTAACTCAATTTGTGCTTTTAATGTCTTGATCTAGAGATAATTCGTTATAATAATGCGAAAAGCAAAAAATTGCGAGGACAGAATAGTATGAAATTTTGCACACATAGTTTATATACAGCGGGAATCAAGAATAGTATTTTTTTTAATTACGATTAAAATACATTAAATCCATATTTTTTTTTTAATTATACGTAATAAAAAGCTCATTAAATATGTACACACACTACCATGTATATAGCACGCTTTTTTAAAAAAAATTGTGAGGATGGATGGTAGTTTGTTTCTGTTTTACGCAAAAACAACTGAACAGATTTAATTTTAATTTACTACACACTATAGTTCATACACTAAATTTACTAAAATATTGAGACTGTAAGAGAATACCTTCAGGTATTGAGTCTGCCATGTATACAATTTTGTGTAGAAAAGGATAAATAAATTTACATACTTTTTATATGAATTCACTAGCAGCGCCGTGGGATATCACATCAAAAACAATTTATTCATGGAAGACATTTTAATCACTTAGGAACGCCAAATTTTTTAATTAATATTTTTTTCCTACCGTCCATTTTAGTATACAGATTTAATAGAGAAGAAATGGCAAGAAACTTAACTGAATTTCTGTTTTTTTAAGCCAATTTATTATATATAGTTAATTATCTATACTCACAGCGATATATTTCTTTTTCGCCATCAATGCTAGTCCCAAATTGGTGTGTGCGGCCACACAGGTAGGATGTGCTGTTAGAGCCGCTTTCAACCTCGCCAGGGCTGCATCCAGATCTTTATGCTGCAGCAGCATAGCCGCTAATGCGAGAGCTGCAGCGTGCTGTGTTGGTTCCTGAGCTAATGCTGCACCGAGGAGTTGAAAGGCACGTCGCGGGTCACCAAGTCGGAGACGAAGAGCTCCCGCTGCAGCCAGAGTGTCCGCACCACAGGCGTGTGTTCTAAATTTAAATAATTGCAGAGAATACGTGTTAGGTAATACATGTTTGCATACAGTTTATTGTTTTAGCGCACTGCCTTTTTTTGGTCGTGAGTTCGATCCAGGCTCTCTATAAACATGGATATATGTTTGTAATTTTGTATTAATATTGGTCTGGGTGTTTCTTTGCGTAAAAAGATATTTAATTTTAAGTTGTGCAACAGTTGTATGGCATGCATAGTACAAGCTTTGCTTAGTCACGGACTAGATGTTATTTATTTAGGGCTATATAACAACAGTTTATATAAACTATATTAGACCCACATTTCTCTTTAGTATTTATCTAAGCCCAAAACTTTGCAGACTTTGCATACTAGTGAAAATATAGCACAGTTTTGTTTAAACGAAAATTTTATCCTTTTCTTATACTAAGTTCCCAAACCATTCTATTACAAATATATAATTTGCGCAAAAGTTCTTTATACACATTTTATGGCTCACGGATTTCAATGTTGTAGGACTCACGATAATGCATGGTCGTAAGCGTTCAGTGCTCCTTGTTTATCATCACAAGAGAGTAGAAGCTTGGCAAGCAGCGCGCCGGCTCTCTCACCGCCGCCCGCCTGAACACCAGCTCTCGCCCACTCCACACCGCGTTCAGAATCTCCAAGATTCCATGCGCATTCCGCTGTGGAGTATCATTGGATAAAAGAACATCAATTATTTAATAGTCAAACTTTGTTTTATGAAAAACCAGACGAGAATCAGGTTTATAGCAGAGATCATATTAAGTTAGGCCGTTGTTTTTATTAATATTCAGTTTTATTAAGGTTCGATTCCTAATACGGGACAAAGATTTGTATTTCTGTTGTATATCTGGCACTACTCATTGGTCCGCCGCCAGTGAAGGTACCTATATTTTTAGTAGTCACATATTTCATCATTGTCATAATTTTTTTTTTTTATTGGAATGGCAATCAAGTGCTATGAAGAGAGCCACAGACGCCATCATGACGTCACGTGTTGCCATTGCGGATGACTAAGACGTTATGCTCTCGTATACTGTCATTTCAGTTACAGGTATATTTATAATATACATATATATACCATATCATATAGGTGTACATACCTAAAGCACAGTAGGTGTCTGGATCAGGGTGTTTTGTCAATTTATCAGCTTCTAAATACGCTTCAAGGGAAAGTTGGAACCGCCCCTGACGAAATCTATGGAAGTACAGCATAAAGTAGAGACATTTTTTATTGATTTATTTTTTTATTCTCTTAGTTCTTCTCAAACAACTGAAATGGACGGTAGGGGAAAAATATTCATACTTACATAAGTGATTAAAATGTCCTGCGTAAATAACTGATTTTTTTATTTATATTAGAAACCAACTTACAAACATTTTCCGACTTCCTTCAATGGTTCAGGCTCATGAGGTTGCAGTCTAATGCAGCTATGGAATCTCTCCAGAGCTTCTTGGTACCGTCCAGCATCCGCTAACACCAAACCCTATTGTAACATCTTAATTAACTTGGCTGTTATTGTAGATACAAAGTTTAAATTATATTTATTAAGGATGATTCCTTTAAAATTATTCCCATAGTCTAAGAAAAACTATTCTTAAACTGAGAATATTTTATTCTCAGAGTTTAAATTAATTTTTCAGGGTTTATTCTCTGACTCTGAGAATTATTTATTGTCAGAATCTGAGGATAACTTTTCTATCAAAAATAGAATCATTTATTCTTTGGTTTAGGTTTGAAGGGTGCACCCTTATACATGTATTTGTATAACTGTATGCGTGTGTGTGTATTAGAGATAGGTCACGATGAAGTCATTATAATGTTCCAAAAAGAAAATTACTCTATGCCTAAATTAGGATTTAAAACAATTTATACCAATTCCCACCTACCTTAATAAAGTGTGCATATCTATGTGTATTCTGACACTGCTTTTGCAGTTCATCAGCTATCTCCATGCACATTGCGTGTTCGCCCCTTACATACCTAGCATGCAGGAGCCAGTTGCGAGATGCTCCACGAAATTCTAAAAGATAAATTAGATCTGATAGATACGAAGATAGGTAGATACTTAGTCTTTTTGTATACATGAATATTGAATGGTGCAATGGTTTATGCTATATTAAGGATTTTTTATAACATTTATATTCCTATGATCACTTCCGGGTATCGGAACATCGGATTAACAAATGTATATGATCTTCATCCCAAATTAAAAAAAAAATACTGGCACGGCGAAGAAGGTTGGCAATGATGGTGACAATTACTAACTACATATGTATGTCAGTCGACCTCACCAAGTGCAAACTCATCGTTAGTTCTTAATGAATTTGTCACGATGGGCTAACTGACTTGACTTCATTTTCATCTTATCATCCTCCACTAGTGCCCCTCCATCGTATACCTCTAGCGTAAGAGGTTGTACCATTCCATTATCATTCAATACAAACAAGTGAGGTAGTTATGCCAAATCATAAGTCCGTAGCTTAGTAAATACGCAATGAATCATTTAGACAAACAAACATTTTATTTTATAATAAGTACCAACCAGTTTCCAACATTTTATCTGTATATATTGGATCTTACGTATACAATTCTATATGTTTTTTTTTAGATTGTTTTGTTTTGTTTCACTAATGCTATGGTAACAAGTACATTACATTCTTTGTAACTATAGTGGAATAGATACATACAAAATTAATTATTGAAATATACCTATATATATATAAGTAAATAATTTTATTAACATCGATATTGCAGTTGTTAGTCATTTCTGCAATAAAATGGGTTTTTTTATTTGTAATATATACATCTAAAATGTTTAAGAATGGCAACATTTCTATATAGTCATAGCAACACATTATTTGACAGCAAACCGATTAATAGTGATGAACAAACGACATTGGTGTTTTTATCGATAAATAAAAGTTTAGACATAATAATCAACTTCATATCTATAAACTTATATTTTTAATGATGAGCCGAATTTCGAATACCTAGGTATTCGGTGCTACTAGTAGCACCTGCAGACTAAAGTTTTATGCATCAGGCAGAAGCTAGCCTTCAACTGCTCCATAAGTCCTTCAGCGGGTTTGTATTATTATTTGCACTCACTCCGTATCGTTCGGTGAAGCTGTAAGGCCAGCTGCGGCCAACAGCATTAGAATAGATTGAAAACAAATATGCTGATAACAACAAAATTTATTTATATTGGATAAATTAAAACATTGTGTAGAATACAGACTATGTAGTTTTTATTATTAACAATTATAGCGAGAACACTCAATTAGAAATTCTCACTGTAAATAACGACTCGATATTACAATATGTCTCTGTGTACTTCACTATGGGGAATCAGCCGGCACACAAATGAAAAATTGACAAGTCATATCGGCCTGAGAATGAATTCTTGCTTTGATAAAAATAATAACAAGTTATCAAATATATAATTACAGTAATTTAATATAGAATAAAATATTTACAATGGAGGATATGGCACGCCTGGCGTTAGTGGAGCAAAGTGTACGGGACAGTAGGAAATTCAGTGAAATACTTTATGAAGTTCTCGGTCATATTATTAGTATTTTAGAAAATCCCCATGACTACGAGTTGAGAACGATCAGTGGTGATTTTGTGAAGAAATGTAAACAGTATGAAGCTTTAGTGGACTATATGAAATACATTGGTTTTCAACTGGTAAGTTATATTGGTTTTATCTACCGCACTTTTTTCTTCGCGAAATATTTTTTGCCCTTAGATAATATTGAAATGTAACCATAGAACTATATAGATTGTTCATCTTTTTTTTTTAATACTGGCTGTATACCATGATTCGCAGCCCATGTAACATGAATATTTTTTATCCATTGCAAGGAAGAAATTAAATTTTAAAATATATTTATAACTGTTGTATGTGACAAGTTATTCAGACACTGCCTCTGTATACCATGTCTTATCGATGTTCTGCGGGCAGAAAACTTACCATACTGACTTTGTTTTATATTTTATCTTTATATTCTTAATGAGGTAAACTGTAAATTCAAAATCAAATATGTGGGTACATCACCATTTACTTAGACCATGGGTGCCATGAGCGTCAGATTTGTACTTTTGGGTACAATTTTCATGTTTGTTTAATGGCTGTGAATTACTCAATCTATGAATTTATGTAAATTGATGTACATACTCAAGATTGATAGAACTAATAACTAGGCAGTATATCTCTTGCTCTTCACCTGTCCGAATTGGATGAATTTTAAAACAACAATAATTAACTGCTTAAATATGTCATACGAGAGATATTTGTTCTAACACATATTATTTGTATGGACTCACAATTATACTAGCATTTAAAAGGAGAATACAGCCATATGGCTATACATCTACTTATCTGGTACACATGATATGTATGTACTAGTAGCAAGAAAGAGAATTAAGGTGCACACACACAGCCTCAAACATGCCACATATATTCTCAGAAGTTTTTTTCACATTTATATCTCACAATCGGCTCACCAAGCCTTCAGCATATTTGTTGTGGGAATCTGTTGACAAGACAGGACTGTATTTCCAATTAGGAAACTGTCTCATTTTACATATCTCTTTTTTTTGAACAATTCTATGTTTATGAATGAGAATGGAAAACTTCTATATCTATTTTTTCCTACTTTTAGGTGGCAGATACATTAATATACCCGAAGGACTATTCACTCAGCAAATTGAGGATTGCTCAAGTGACAATAGAGAGGAAGCTCTGTGTGTGCTATGGAGGCTTGGATCAGAGCAAAACCAGTATTAAATCTATAAGAAGCCAACCACAAACAAAGAAGACTATACTCACTCCAGCTAATATACTGGTATATACTAGAATAATTATACAATAAGAGCTTATACAGCCTTCAAATCCTTGACATATATATATTTATGGATGATAATGTAATGCTGCACCAGAGAGGAGGATGTGACAAATTCACCAGGAATTTATGATGGTTTCTAGGAGAGACCGCATGGAGGTCAACCTGACTTGGTACATTGCTAGCAATAAGATCTTCAGTCCACATTACTAACAATCCTCTCTCCCCCCTATAGACATATATATAGTTAAATGTATTTACAAAAAAAAAATGTATCTATGTATTTATATCAGTTGTCTAGTACCCATAATTTATATATATAGCTTGGGAGTATGGAGATGGTGCTGTGTGAATTATCCTGAGATATTATATATTTTAAATATATCTATATTATGTCAGTAGACCTATTGACATGTATTGTATTCACCTCAATTAGAATGCTGTTAATTTTTACAGAAAACTAAAAACCCATTGTTGCTAAAAATTGAAGCATTATTCAATAATATGATAAAATATGAAGATGAGGACTTACAAGATTTAGCACGACAATGTATTCCTATTGTGACATTACAATTGATGGCTATTGACAGAGTCAGAGAACGACAAAAGAAGATCAAAGCTGGTCAGTATTTTATTTATTTATTTAAGCTTTGCATTCCATAATTTTACAGTTGATAGATAGACAGGTACATTTCAAAGTAGGTTAATTATGGACCCTGTTGGGTACAGCAAGCGGAAGAGAAGAGAGGAGGATGAGTTATTTTTTATATAATATATAATAATTATATTAAAAATAGTAATAATTAATAATTTGAAATTGTATATTATTTAATTATTAAAATTGTATTTAAGTAATTAAGTACTTAGTTTTAGAAAGGAATCTACACACATTTTAGAAATGAAACATTTTAAAGATGCACATACCCACCTGATGAACAATAAAAAAATGCCAGTCCTTAGTGGGATTTCATTCTTGAACATGTTAACTAGGATGAATTAGTTCTTACCCTATTACCAAACAGCCTATCTAGTTAGGAAATTAATTACAATCTAATTATGTTGGATTCTGTGTTGTGTATTTTTTGTAAACCTGTTTTTTTTTTTTTTTTGACTATCTGCAATCAACCAATTAGCTATTATTATATTGGATTCATTTATTTATACAATACTCCTGAATTGTATAATAGCAAATTTTTATATTTGGTACTCTATGAAAGAAGTAATAACTACATGTTATTCAATCACTAATGGGGAACATAATGCTTCCAATAGCTGTGGTAATATTTCCGCCATATCTACATGCTAATGTTACTGTTAGTTGAACAATATATCACAAAATATCACCTAATACGGTAAAATATATCATAACATTGTTTTTGATATCTGGTTTTGACATGATTATGTTTCGAAAGAAGAGTACCAAAATTGATTGATTTAAAATCTATATTGAGATTCGACCCTGAAGTGGAATAGCAGGTCACAAATATATGTACTAAACTTCACATTCTATCTCATGTTATTTAGTTGTTGTATTATAAACACGAAAGTTTGTAAGTATACATGGATGGATGTATGGATGTTCATTACTATTTCGCGAAAAAAATCCGGAATGGATTTTGATGAAACTTTACAGTAATATAGCTTAATCAGTAGAATAACGTATAGGCTATATATGCGTCTGAAACCGCGAGCACAGATAGTGTCAAAATAAAGAGGAAAAACATTACTCAATTTATTTGTATTATTTTATTTAGTTCTGCTACTATTAAAATGTGTGTGTAATTTGATCTACATCCATTTCTGCAAAAATAACACATAATTCGATAGAATATAAAAAAATAAGTTAATTCGCAGGAGAATTCAAAGGACAAGACCTCCCATTCGACATTGCTTTGCTGATGGAACTCATCAACTGGTTCAAGCACAAGTTTTTCTCGTGGGTCGACAAGCCAGCGTGCAAGAGATGCGGTGGGGAGACCGTATTCGCTAAGACCACATCATTGAGAACTGAAACCGAAACATGTACATTGGAGGTATGTAATAATGCACAGCGTCATCTAGTCCCAAGTTAAGCTGAGCTTGTATAATGGGCACTAGACTATTGATATAAATACATATGTAGATACTTGTTTTTTTATTCTAAAATACATAATATACATAGAAACACCTAGACCGATACAATAACTCATACATACGTGCGAGGAATCGAACCCGCGACCATCGGGCGTAAAGCGATGTGCTAAACCACTAGACCACCGAGGCCGTCTGCTATGCGTTTTTGTGTGCTTTTAAACTGTCATAATATACTGTACAAGAAATGCAAAAAAGGTAACCATAATAAAATGACTGTCAGTGCGGGAGTTTTGGGATAATCTTTTTATATATAAAATTCTCGAGTCACAATGTTAGCTACCATACTCATCCGAAACGACTTGACCAATTTATAAGAAATTTTCTATGCATATTCAGTAGGTCTGAGAATCGACTACTATCTATTTTTCATACACCTAAGTGATAATTGTTGTCCATCTCTAACATTTTTTTTTATTCTTTTATAATGTGTCTTTAAAATACACGTACAACTCTAAATTTTCACCCTCCTACCATTAACCCCTATTTTAATAGCCATTTTAATTATTACTAGCTATTAGGGTGTAACTTTTATATTAACTGTTACATCTTGAATACTTTTAGACTAATTACATAAACTATATATATGAGGTACTGCGTGACCTACGTGTCGTTATACATAACGTAAAGCACAATCTACTATCGAACGTGCTGATTGAATCACAATTTCTTCCTCTTGAATCACTTTATCTATTAAAAAACGGTTTCTAAATCGATTGCGTAGTTTTAAAGATTTAAGCATTCATAGGGACGGACAGATAGCGACAGCGACTTTATTTTATACTATGTAATGATGATTATTTAATAACTAATATTATATTGTTGTCTCAGTTATACCACTGCTACCAGTGCGAGATAGAAACAGACTTCCCTCGATACAACGATCTGCGCGCGCTGTTGAAGTCGCGGCGCGGACGTTGCGGCGAGTGGGCCAACTGTTTCACTCTAATATGCCGCGCAATGGGCTACGATACACGATACGTGTATGACGTCACGGATCATGTTTGGTGCGAGGTAAGCCTGCCTTATGTACAATAACTAATAATACGGCTGGCAAATGCCTTTTATGGTAAAATGAATAACTTACCAATCCTTTGCTGTAGGTAAAGAGTATATTTAACAATATACATATATATTAATATTATAAACGCGAAAGTTTGTGAGGATATGGATGGATGTTTCTTACTCTTTCACGCAAATACTACTGAACTGATTTTAATGAAAAAAAAATTTATACTTTATTCGTCTATATTCGTAATATAATGTTATTTCTTATACATCAGAATGACGTGAAATAGTGATAATTCAAAAGATATAAGGTCTATTATCACGCAGGTGAAACCGCGGGTTAGTATAGTATATATATATATTAAATATCCCCTCCCCTGAACCAGGTGTACGACTACGACACAAAAAAATGGCTTCACGTGGACCCATGTGAAGCCATAATGGACGCACCGCTCACCTACAGCCACGGATGGGGCAAGAAACTCTCCTACGTCATTGGGGTCTCGAGAGATGACCTTCAGGACGTCACCTGGAGGTACACCACTAACCACAAACAGGTGAGCGGGAGATATTATATAGTATATTATCATTAAATAGTATAAAACAAAGTCGCTGTCGCTGTCTGTCCGTCCCTATGTATGCTTAAATCTTTAAAACTACGCAACGGATTTTGAAGCGGGTTTTTTAATAGATAGAGTGATTCTAGAGGAAGGTTTATTTATATAATACATGTGTACCCGTGCGAATCCGGGGCGAGTAGCTAGTAAATATTAAAGAAAGAAAGAGAAAAAAAGAGATATTTATATTTCTGCGTTCTTTTATTTTTATAATAATAATCTCAGGATAGTTTACACAGCGCCATCTAGTCCCAAGTTGAGCTACCTAAAGCTCGTGTCATGGGTACTAGATAACTGATAAATACGTAAATATATTTTTATTTTTACTAATACAAACTCTATTTTGTTTAGGGCTTAACTAGGACTTAACCTCCTCTATTGAACTGTTAACTGCCTTGGTGGTCTAACGATTTAACATACCGTCTTGCATCCGATGGTCTCAGGTTCTATTTCTCGCACGGTAAAAACCTTTGTATTCACGAGTAATATTGTCTATGTATAATATGTATGTATTTACGAAAAAAGAAAAATTATCTATGTATTTGTATCAGTTGTCCAGTACCCATAACACAAGCTTTAGCTAGCTTAACTTGGGTCTAGATGGCGCTGTGTGAATTGTCCTGAGATTATTATTATTATTATTGTCTTTATCATGTGTCTATTATCCATAACATAAGCTTTACTTAGCTTGGGACGAAATAGTGCAGTGTTAGTCCTGACATATTATAATTATTTCTGACGATATCGTCAGTAACAGTCTTGGATTTATAAATAGCCCATATAGGCCGCGGCCTAAGGGCGGCAGATTTTAGAGGGAGGACCGTCATTCGATTTCAGTGGATAAAAGTCAAACAATTAAACTAGAGAAAGTTAATATTTTCGAAAAGTATATGGATGATGTAGTACCTACCTACTGATACTGCTGCTGATGATGTAGTAGGTACATGGGGAAATAAATTGCCCTCTCTTATAAAAATATAAATCCGATACTGGTCAATAATGAACAGTATTTTAAATAAATAGAACATACCATACAGATAAGTCAGTGTGGTGATTCACATTTCCAAATATATGTACCGTGCGAAGAATCGAACCTACGATCATCGGAAATGTGCTAAACCGAGACGGTCAATGACGTGAAAATTATGCATGTTCTAGATCCTGGGCAGACGAAATCTCTGCAACGAAGCTGATTTGATAACGGGTTTAATGACATTACGGGAGCATAGACAACGCCAGGTGTCGGAGGCTAGGCGGCGATATCTCACCAAACGAGCACTTGAGGAGCTGGTCGAGCTCATGGTGGAAAGGTAACATTCATACTTTAGTCAAAGTCTATAAATGTCAATCGCAATTGATACATATAAAATTAATTTTGTACTGTTAGAAACCTGTTCACAACTTGCCCATTCTGTTCGCAGGCTGCTCATATAATGCCCTTTTTGTCCGAATCACCGGTCATAGATCGCCATCTAATGGTCCACTACTCTCGAAAAACCGGAAGTTAGAATAGAATAGAAAATCAAATAAACTTATATTTAAGCACTTTTGAATAGTCATACTTATTTTTTTAAACTACCGCTCATAGGGAAAGCTGACTCAACATAAGAAGAACGAGCAACAAACTTGCGTATTGCTCTTTTCAATAATTTAGTTGAACTTTACATTTTTAAGTTAAAATTTGTGAACACAATAAAATCATGGTAAAAGGATATTTTGATCATTTCACTTCTCATAATTCTTCTCTTCATTTGACCACCATTTTAATTTTACTCTTCCTTTCTAAGCTAAAATATATGGGCTTAGTAAGCTAGCTTACTAAACCCATATATTTCAGAGGAAATATGTTTTCAGAAAGCCAAATGACAGTGAATCACACGGGCGGATAACCGGCTCTAAAGACTGGCGAGCGAAGCGTGGCGAGATCGGCAATATTAGTCATACCTTTGAACTCTCTAAACCGGGCAACTACAGTATCCGGTACTATCCGAGCACGGACAAGTACCGGATATCCTGCGACGGAGGAAAAGACGATCTGGTTATCGGATGGGAGGCTGGAACTTATGAGCGAAAGGGCATGTTTAGGAAGATCGAGCTGGATTGGAAACAAGTCTATTTAGCAAGAGAACGTAAGTGCATTTTTATTAATTTTACGTAGTTAATAATAATAATAATGCTTTTATATGTACAACCACAGTGGGGTCCAGTGGAGGATGATAAGATGAGTATGAGGTCAGGTCAGTTAGCCCATCATGCCATATTCAGGAATTTATCACGATGGTTTCCAGGGGGAACCGTGTAGTCAATCTGACTTGGTACTTTGGTAGGAATGGGGCCATTAATTCACATTACTAAGTTCTTCTTAAAATCTATTCTTCAAAATTAAAATCATTTATTCATGTAGGACATTTAGCCGCTTATGAATGATTTTTTTTGTACTACTATACTTTTTTCCCCTACCGTCCAGTTCAGTATAGAAGTTTAATTCAAATCCAGTTCACTGGCAATAAACTCAACTGAATTTCTTTTTTTTATTAAAGCCACTTTATTTACATTGTGTACTTGTATAGGTGTTTATGAATAACATTAAATGAAAATCCCGTGCGTGAAGAACTATTCCACATACATAAAAATAATTAATAACAATTTTCTATATCACAGCGGACGAAAATCATGGTAGCATCTCGTGGAGACTAAGTACAACAGCCGATCACGTGTTCAAGGTAATCAGCATACAAGCCAGCACCGCTGTGTTTGAGACCGGAAAGATCGACTGGAAGTTAAAATTTGATAATAAGGATCCTGTGTATACTAAATTTAGTGGTTAGTATTCATATAGTATTGATTTATTTTTGAAGATTTACTTTGATAGTGCAATGGAATGAATGAAATAAAACAATGAATGAAACTGTGCTATAGGCAAAGGTGCTAGACCTATTTATAGGCCTGTATTTTAGTTTTGTCGGTGGAATTGCTAATAATAGCTCTAATTGGTTTAGGGATAGTTTTCTCTGTATGTGTAATGGAGAAATTTGGACTTAGACATTTAATTTTTAAACCTAGAGTAACAGTAAGCCAGCCTTCGGTAGCTAGTATAATATATGATAGAAATTCATAATAATTTTCAGAATCACCAACAACGTTCAGTGACGAATTCACCACCGCAGTGATTACAGTGGATCTCAGTGGCGGCAACGGTGATGTGGCATGGCAACACGCGCAGATATTTAGACAATCATTAGAAACCAAATCTAGTGGCTTCGAAATACTGGCCACTGTAGTCAAAAAACAATAAAACCAAATATAAATTTAAATTTTGACCACAGATTCTATATATTTTTTTTATATTATAAGGTGCTGTTTCTTTACTAATTTCTAAATTAAAAATTTGACCACAGCTTGTATACATTTTTAGGTTATGAAGTTTTGGTTTATTTTGTACTTTTTAAATGATATTCCAGAATGTTTAGTCTGTATTTAGAGGTTTATTTGTTATGTGAATTTTATAAAATCTGTTCTAAGTTGTTGATACCAATAAAATTGGGTTTATAATGTTATGTTTTCTTGTACATTTTTAGTTTAAGTTTTGACGGTGAATAGTGGCATTTCAGTAATGGCGGTAATTTTTTAAATTAATATCCTATATACCTTGCGCATCTGTTTACATACAATCAATTGACATGTATATGAAAATAAGTACATTTGAGACTGATTCTGTTTGAGTTCTATAAGAGTAGTGTTAGGTTCAGCAATTTTAAAATATACGCATTGCATGCTACAATTTTATATATTAGACTTGACGGTCCCTGACGGATGGTCATGAGTGTGACTCTTTGCACGGTATAAACATTTTCTTTTTTGTTCTTATATACATATATATATTAACATTTATATTGAGTTTGATTTTATTGCTCTGTATGGTTTCTATGTATATACAATAAAACTAGATAGCATTGTATTAATTGCCCTAGGCTATTATAGACTGAAATAGCTTTCGGCGGGATTTGAACTCGCATCTCTTAATTGTTCAGTTATTAGTGTATGATTGAGGAACAGTAATTCACATCTATAATATTCTATCTATTGAAATGCCACATAATTTTCATAACCTAATATTAATATTTTATTTTAATAATATATTAGAATTTATTTTATTAATAATTTGTAATTAATCTATTTATATATGGTTTTTGCTTTTTAAAACTCGTTACTGGCCAGATGCTCTGCAAGCATGTGTTGAAGTGCCATTGCAATATTTAATATCATAATAGTGATTAAGGAACGAAGATTTGTGAGAATATGCTCGACAAAAGGCGGCCTTATCGCTAAAATTAATTTACTGTAGTTAACCTTTATTATAGAACTTTTATATGTACTACTTATTAAAATATATCTGCTTTTGAAAAAGTACCTCGCTGCACAATTTTACTATCTGAAATATAACGTGTTTCATAAATTTAAGTGTTATTTATAAACTTTTGTTAATCTTTTCTCATTTCATAATATTCGCAAGTTGCGATTCCATCTATAGCGTAATTGGAGGTACTGTTAGCTTTGATAATTGGATAACTAAGAGATGAGAATGCTTCATGTCTGTGGGTAACATGTTTTAATAACATATTTAAATTAAATTACGTTTGTCTATTTCTATACATTCCAATGTTTTTTTATGAATATAGAATAATAATTATATCAGTAAGCATTTTATTTTACATAAATTCGGTTTAGTTACTCCCATTAAATTAGTAAAATCATGCTATTTCAATTTCATCTATATATCGTTTCGTAATAAAGTTCAGTTTCTATTATTCCACATCAATTCCAATAATGTCTATATTAGACCTTGCTTCTCTTTTTATCCATTCCCTTCCGTGTCCTCAGCATAGTAGCTTTTCTAGGTGCATCACCTTTTCCCGGTCTATACGTATGGCTTCCTAATCCTTTTTTATCTGTCGGAACCTTATTCAAAAATGATGTATCTAGACTTGAGGATCTCAGCCCATATTTTTGGCTTTGGAAGCTTTTAACCTTTATTTTAGTAGAGAATGGCTGTATGGCGGTTCTTCTTTTCATCGGTTGTTCTATATTCAGGCGTTCGTATTGCATAGCGGTGCTGTTCTTTGTGGGACGTCTGAAATCATCCAATTTAATATCGCCTCCACTCGAAAGACTAGTCACCATGAAACGTAATTCCGATAAAGTTTGACCATGATTGTTTACGTCTTCTTGCAATTTGTCAAGTTTTTTCTCGAATTGCTTAAAAGCAGTCATAATTCGCTGCAAAGATGCATCCATAGAACTGAATTTTTGCATAAGTGCAATTGATCGAACCAAACTAGAATTTTTGATTATATATATATTGATAGTCTTGTTAAATAACCATTTTTAGTCACATTTAAATTTTTTATAAATGTCAGAAGGTTAAATCTCATATTTACCAACATCATGCAATTTCATTTTTATAATATTTATAAAATAGTTACATGTCAATTTGCAGGTTTGATTTTTGGCGGGCTAAAGAACAAATTACAGTAATTGCATAAAATACGGCTCTTCTTGATACATCCTTAGTTTATATAAAGTATTTGTAAAAAAAGAAGAAATTACTTTGTTTTTTAAAAGGATGTTACAAGCGCTGTCTAAATATAATAGTTGTTCTGTAAAGATGTAAAATTCTTTTATTCCAATTTTCCTCGTAAAACCCTTCAGGTTATGGGCTATCCAAATAATACACACAGTCTAAGTATAAGTTTTAAATAAAAATTCAGCAAAATTTTAAATAAAAATTCTTCTCAAAGGTCATTACAATATATTGATAATGCAGACAATACTGAGGGAAAAAATACAAACAGCAAAACATATTATTCTGCTTTCCAATAAGAAAGGACACAGATGAACATTTTACAATGCTTGAAAATTTAATACATAGACTGACACAATTAAAAATGCCATTTGATGATGCAATGGTAGAATCTAAAATACTAAACATTCTTTCAAATATAGACAACTACCAATCTTTGTAACAACTTGGGAAAGTGCTCCTAAAGAAGAAAGAACGCTAAAGAACTTAAGAACAATAGAAATGTTATAGAAATAATTCTCACGCGTGTGAAAATTAGAAGAGAGTGTAAAGTTCTTTTATTCCAATTTTCCTCGAAAAACCCTTTAGTATTGTCGTTTTTAAATCTAGGAGCTTGATGCTTATTTTTTAGGCTATTAATTTAATATAATTAAAGAAATAGGGATGTAAGCGGTTGAAAGGGGAGAAAGGTTTATATGGAAGTACTGTTATTTTTGAAGCTAGAAAGATGAAATTTTTTTGGGTTTTTTTGGTTACATTTGTAATTAGTTTTTATTTGTTTGATCAGGGTCACTATTCCACGCGGACGAAGTCGCGGGCACAGCTAGTTTCAATAATATACTGAAATAGTTCACTGTTTTCTACTAGGGCAAATTCATTCATATAATAGCAAACTGCGAAAGGAGCAGAATTCCTTAATTTTGTGGAGTAAATAGAAAATAAGCTTTAGGGCCTGTGAAATACAATTTAAGTTAGTTTTACCAGTGGCACTCAATGAGGAATATGTAATATTATGTTATCTGTGGTTTTACATTGTTTACAAACTAAATGTTTCATTACAACTATGTAACATTGTTTCATCTGAGATTACAAGTACTTTACAATAATACATTTTTTTTTCCATATTCGTCCATCTCCTTTTCACTGACGGAACAGGCAAAGATCCTTAGACCGTACAGCCTTTACAATAAGACAACAAAAAATACAAAAATGACGTAATATTTATAAAGGAAAGGCAAAGAGAATTTTGCACATGCAGCCAATATAAATCCTTTGATGACAGCCTCTGCTGACATTTTATGTCAATTGTGCAATCTGTCAAGTGTCAACCATTTCCAACTGTCAAACTGTCAATTGCGAAGAAACTAGCACAGCAACGTGATGGGTGACACCGCCGCGGAAGATATAAAAAACCTAAATATTAACGAAAAGGCAGGATTTTAAACAATTTATTTAGTCACAGTTTGTATTTCTGTGGTTCATTTAAGTGATGCTAAAATTGCTCGGCCTCCGCGGACGTTGCGTAGTTCGTTTGAAGGAGACCTATGCCACATGGGTTTGTAGGATTGTTTCGTCAGCAAATGTTGCTGCAATGAATCATTTATTACATACCGCCTTATTACTTTAATAATTTCATATTTAACGTTGCTGTTAAATATGGAATTATTAAAGTAATAAGACCTTATATGAAGTTATTATTTCACTTATAGGAATATAGGCAAATAGGATTTGTTGGGAACACGGAAGTAACGCTTCTGTTTTTTAATTATTGTGAAATGTTTATTACTTATGTAGTTAACAAACATATCTTTTGTTATTGTTATAATTTTTTTTTCAAATACAAATGCGATTTATGAAAAAAAATTAAACTGTTACAGTATAACAATTTTTAGGAAACGGTTGAGTAATATTTGTAAATATAACCTATCATATTTGGTAACCTATCTTGTTTACTATACAAAAGATATGCCTTTTACCTATTTTTTATTCTTTATTATCTCCACTTTGAAAGGCAACAGATCTCTACCTACCATTACTACCATTTTATTTAATTATTCTAATTACAATTTTATCATATTATTATTAAATAAAAAAATTACTTAATATTTCTGTAGTTACATAAAAGTCTACATTAGCTTATTGTGTAAACTAATAAGGAGTAACATAATATTTTTTTATTTGTATGTACATATAATCTATAAAAGCACTTTAAAACTGTTTTTAAAATATAATACTTATAGTTTACTACTCATGTGAGAAGATTGAATTGAATGAAGAAAGATTATTTAATTACAACAAAATTACATTTTAATTTAAATATAGAAATCCCTAAATTAAAAGTACCAATGTAATATGACATTAGGTTTCTTGTTCCTTATAAAAAAAGTAAATGTTATTTTCCTTTGCAGTCAAAGACTAAAGCAATGAAAGAAAAAAAGAAGAAAACTGAAGAGTCTGGTTCAGTGTCAGAGCTGAATCCATGGCCGGAGTATATCCAGAAGAGAATTACACTATGGGATAAATATAAGGCTCAATATGTAGAGGAGTTGGCACAAAAACCGGAACTCAGCATTGTTGTAACTCTGCCCGATGGGAAGACGGTAGAAGCCAAGGCTTGGAGAACCACACCTTATGATGTCGCTAAGGGCATCAGGTGAGTCTACAAAGAATAAAATAGAAAATTATTCAAATAAACTTAAATTAAATACTTTTGAATAGCCATAACTTATTTTTTTAAATCTACCACTCATTTGGAAAGCTGTTTCATTACAAGAAAATTGAGCAAGATACTTGCTGTGTTGCTCTATTATAAGTAATAAGCTATCAATTGCTTGGTTTTCAAGCTGTATATTATACTATAAAAAGCTAAACATTCTTGAATTTAAATATTGTTGAATGATTATATGCTTAATGGTTGACTTTTTATGGTATTAACAAATGTTTATCATAGATATACTATACCTAATTTATATATCTGTCCTTGGAATTGTCTTTATCTAAGGATACTATTTGATATTTTATAGTTCACACCCAAAAGTCAGCCTGCTGGTACTTTATAATGTTGTGCATTATAAAGTACCAGCAGGCTGACTTTTGGGCCTTACATATTAATTTTAAAAAGTAATTGTCTGCATTCTTTTTTTAAATTATATTCTGGTAATTTTTAATTTAGTGTCAGACAAGGAATAATTAGAACTCCAATAGTGGGTGATAATGGTATTGTGCCTTAACAGTTTCATCTCTTACATACAAATAAACAAAAAATTACTACTAATAATTTAATACAATACTAATTGTATATTTAATGATACATGTGTTTTATAATTGTATATGGTTCTGATCGCAGAATAATTAATACAGAACTATAAATAATAGAAAATCTTGTTTGCCTGCTCGCAAGCGAGTTTTGGATTGAATAGTAAGTATCATTTATGAGCAGAGCTTGATTTACATGATGTGTCAATGGATTTCCTTATTTTTCAATGATATCTGAGTGAATTGATTATTATTTATCAATTCACTATCACAATATAATGGCTTTATATACAATATACAAGCTTTAATGTTGTTTTGATGTTGAATGAAAATTGTCTGATAACTGTCTTTAACACAAATAATAACAACTGATACTAGAGTAGGGTTTATATGTAAAATTAAGAAAAATCATGGGATAATTTTTATTGATTTCTCAATATTCTGGCAGTGTTTCAACCATCAAGGTGATCACTATAAACTGTAATGTAATGATCACTATAATGATCTACTGTCTATTCTTCAAGTAGACAGTAGATCATTACGTAGTATAAAACAAACTCACTGTCGCTGTTTGTCCGTCCGTCCTATGTATGTTTAAATCTTTAAAAGTATGCAACGGATTTTAAAGCAGGTTTTTTAATAGATAGAGTGATTCAAGAAGAAGATTTATATGTATAATACATGTACACCCGTGCAAAGCCGGGTGGGTAGCTAGTGGTATATAAAGGTAATTGTGGCAAGATACCATGCTTTTTCTTAATTTTATGTATAAATAATAATCGCGTCAAACTTAATATAGTATAGGATATGGTTGTTTTAAGTTTACCAAGTATTTTGTCCATTTGCATGTCTCCAAATTGATAGACTGATTCAATTATTACAGTTTTTATTTTGAAGACAGGTTTAATCAAATTTAATTATTATTATAATGTTGATGTATACGTGTTTAATGTGTTGGAGTCTCTTCAGTCTAATATCTCTGTCTGTAATAACAGATTAATTACTTAATTAAAACAATTTAAGACTTGTATGGTTTGTTGTGAACATTAATTACATTACTTAATGGGTTTATATTATTACTAGCTGATCCCCGCAACTTCGTCTGCATTACACTTACTTGACATTTATCACTATATGTTCAATTTACTTAATATCTTTCCAAATTACAGTCTATGTGTTTATTATGATATATAAGCTATATTGATGTAAAGTTTCATCAAAATCCATTTAGTAGTTTTTGCGTGAAAGTCACAATTCATACTCGCAAACTTCCGCGTTTAGAATATCAGTAAGATGTTTATTATGTGTGAGACTACAAACATTCATTATGGCCTCACATATGCTAATGGTAGTAGAATTAGAGAAAACTGTAAATCCATTAAGTAATTAAATAGACTTCAAAATAAAACCTAATTTAATAAAATGTAAACATTAATTACCTTATAAAGGGGCAAGCACAGCTTGATTGGAGTTTGTGTTTATCTTTGATGTTTTCAAGTTATAGTGACTTAAAAATTCTAATTTTTTTTCAACTAGATGGGGTATCAATACAGGAATGGATGAGTATGTCAGGCCTTTTAGCATATTGTGGAAACTTTTCAAGGAACTAACTAAAGAAAATCATATCTTTGAGAGGGCACAGCACGGAGAGCTTGACTTGGCAGAAGATATTAGCAATGTAATCTGCCAAGTAATGTAATTAGGCTAAACCTAAGTAATGAGGCTCACAAATCCTGATTGTGATAAACTCTTCCTCTTTTATGCAGATCCTTGTCAAGGCAAAATAAAAAAATAATTATTCATATTGACCTGGACTTATTATTCATATTGAGGACACGGTCTCTTATACAAATATATATTTTTTTTTATCGTTATCATTACGTTACTTTGGCTTGTAGTATAAAAAAATTAGCACTATTCTGCATCTTATCATAATGTTTCTCTACCTTTAGCCAGGGCCTGGCGGACTCCACCATCATTGCGCGCGTCAACAATGAGCTGTGGGACCTCGACCGTCCTCTGGAAGGTGACTGCAAATTGGAGCTGCTGCGCTGGGACAACACAGACGCTCAGGCTGTGTTCTGGCACTCGTCAGCACATATGTTAGGCGAGGCTTTGGAAAGGGTATGATAAAGATAATTTATACATGTGGAAGAGATGAAAAAATCTATCTTAGATTACAAAACTAGTTAGAATTTGGTCCGTTTATCTGTGCATCAATTTGACTGGTTTTCACTACTGTATTATGAAATAAAATTTATTTCATACAAAGGTGATTGTAATGATACATAGATTAACACTAAAAATGAGATATAAAAAGCAAGGCTGGGTTTTATTCTAACTTAGTATATGAGTAATGCAGATCTTTATTATTGCATCCTAGTATTAAAAATCGTTTAAAATTATCCTAATAAATATTATTCTCGCGTTTAAAAAAAGTTACAAATGTACATTCTGTGAGAACCTTCAATACAGTTTTATTTATTTTTTATTCATTGGATCAGCTTCATCACTTGAAAGATATACAACCACTTATGTAAATAAGATAACACATCAGATTGGACTATTGTATAAGGATAACCAGGTTGCTAAACAAGTGGCTTAGAAAATATTTTTTTTTTTATTCTCAGGTATACGGTGGTTGTCTATGCTATGGTCCACCAATTGAGGAAGGTTTCTACTATGATATGTATTATCCAGAGAAAGGGGTAAGCATATTTAATTTTGCTCTACCACATAAAAAGTCTATTAATTTTGTTTCTTTTATATGTGATACAACAAAAGCAGAATTACATTAATAGGAGTGTCTTTTATCTGTTGCCATTTATGGTAATTTTTATGTGTAATAACCAACATCAACAGCGTGCTTTTCAAGCTACATTTCACTTTAAACATGACTGTTTACTGTGATATTATCAAGTACAGTGATATACATATTTATATTCAATTATTTTTGTAAATATTACTTGTGTGCGCAATTATTATTATATTAATATTTTATTATTAATTATTATTATACCTTAATCTAAGGAATGTTGGCAGAAATAAAAATTACAATATAATATAAAAACTATACTAATGTTATCTGAACATTAGTACATGATAAATATAAATTTATGACGATACTAATTGGGTTAAAATGATATTAGTTTCCACTTTTGGGAATGACAACATCTTAATCTATAGAACCAATTAAACTCATAAATACATATGTTTGTATCATGCGAGGCATCATACCTGAAAACAGTGTGGTCACGTTTTTTTTTCATTTTACAATACGACGGCGTCGAAATCATTACATTATATAAAACAAAGTCGCTGTTGCTGTCTGTCCGTCCTTACGTATGCTTCAATCTTTAAAACTACGCAACGGATTTTGAAGCGTTTTTTTTTAATAGATAGGGTGATTTAAGAGGAAGGTTTATATGTATAATACATGTACACCCGTGCGAAACCGGGATGGGTAGATAGTATAGATATATAATAGACGAGGAAAAATGTTAGGACACTTGATAGGGCACGATGATTTCAAGAAGATTATTATTGAGGGAAATATAGAAGGAAAGAAAGGAAGAACAAATTCACAAGGAATTTGTCACAATGGTTTCTTGCGGGAACCACGTGGAGGTCATTCTGACATGATATATTGCTAGCAATGAGGTTAATAGTCAACCAGTAATTAAGTCAACACTATATACCTGAACTATTTGCAAGTTATAATAATTGTAACCTCATGGTGTATGTCTTGTTGGTCGCTCAAATAAATAAATAAATAGTCCACATTACTAACAATCCCTTTCTCGCTTAAGTAAATTATCCTGAGTTATTATTATTATTGTAATTTCACAGATCTCATCAGGTGATTTCCACGTACTCGAAGGCTTAATAAAGAAGATAGCGAAAGAGAAGCAGCCTTTCGAACGTTTGGAGCTGACTAAGGAACAGCTCCTGGAAATGTTCGGTTACAATCAATTCAAAGTGCGGATACTGAACGAGAAGGTGAATACACCGACCACCACCGTGTACAGATGTGGCCCGCTGATTGATCTGTGTAGGGGACCACATGTTCGACACACTGGGAAGGTCAAAGCTGTCAAGGTTACAAAAGTAAGTTTTTTTTGTTTGTTATAATAATATAGCCTTTATAACCAACAAGCTGTACACGAGACTTCATTGTGCAGTGCACGCAACGGAACCCCTCAAATATGAATAATTTTCTCTGTTTTTGCAACATTTATCACTGATGCTTTGCTTGTATTGGTCGTAGCGTAATGTTATATAGCTTAAAGCCTTCCTCGACAAATGGACTATCCAACACAAATATAATTTTTCAATTCGAACCAATAGTTCCTGAGATCAGTGTGTTCAAACAAACAAACTCTTCAGCTTTGTAATATTAGTATGGATAACTTTTAAGTGTATAATTTTACAAATTAGCCAAATGATTCATCTAAGTTTATATATTGAAGCTACCACATATGAGTGGCATAAAAGATATTGTACAAATATCTTTTATGTAACTATATAATAAACAAGCTATAGGCCCATCTGATGGTAGGTGGTAAATGTCGCGTTTATGCATAAACAGTGCCAAAATCATTACGTCATCAAGTGTTGCCATTGCAATGAAATAAGAAAATATTCTCCATACCACATTTTCTCTGGTTTATTCTTTTCAACTGTGAATTTAGTTTCCGAGATTATAGAGTTTTATCGTTAAATATTTTCTGATGTCCTTAATAAAATAAGTTTAATGAAAAAAAATTTCTGTGTAGAACTCTGCAACATACTGGGAAGGCAAAGCGGATGCGGAAAGCCTACAACGAGTGTACGGCGTTTCATTTCCAGAGCCCAAACAGTTGAAAGAATGGGAAGTGATACAGGAAGAAGCAGCTAAGAGGGATCACAGAAAAATTGGCAGGGTCTGTATTATTTTAAGTTGCTTGTTGCTGGTAAATAATATTTTGTTGTCGGTTGAGACTATGTATATTATAGGTGATATGGAACTGATAATATATATTAAAATATCGATCTTATTATATACTAAATGTATATAAATAAATAGTAAAAATGTAACAGTTTCTTCTATGCTTAGTATACAATATTTACTTTGTCTTAATAGCTTTAATTGTAATTATTACATTTTAATATCTAGGCAACTGTGTCCCATATCATTCATAAATATAGTGTGTTGCCATTCAACATGACAAAGATGTTGTGCATCCATATTCTTTGATTTTACTACCATATCTCACCCTTCAACCAAGGCTTAGTGATTGAAATAGTTAAGACAGATATAAAGTACAGTATATGACTGTTTTCATGGTATGAAGCCATGACACCTTTGTGATGTATTCATATGATCTAGGGGGTAGTCAGTATATGTACCATTCCAATTATAAAAAAATGAAATAGAAGGTTCAGAAAAGGTACTTTAAGTTAGATCACACAACCGAATAAGTAATGTTGAGTCTTATTTTTATAGGAACAAGAGCTATACTTCTTCCACGAGCTGTCGCCTGGGTCGTGCTTCTTTCAACCACGCGGAGCCCACATATACAACACTCTCATTAACTTCATACGAGATCAATACAGGTATATTAATATTTTCAGACTCGGCGAACGTAGTGCAAAAACGGGGTAAATGTGATGGAATGACGTTTCATTGTCAGTGCAATGCATTGACGTTTTGTTATCAGTCGTGTAATATAATAGTAATGTGTGTAATGTTTTATTTATTGTCTTAATGTATTTATTATGCATAATTAAAAAATAATATTAATATTCTTCATTTCTTGTCTATATAAAATAGAAATCTTCAATATTTCAAATTCCACAATCCTCGCAATTTTCGCACCTTCAGGATCCTGGATCTGGATAATAATATTGTTCTTATTTTTCAGAGTTCGCGGATTTCAGGAAGTAGTGACCCCAAATATGTATAACGCGAAGTTATGGCAGACGTCCGGCCACTGGGCGCACTATGCAGACAACATGTTCTCATTCGACGTGGAGAAAGAGACCTTCGCGCTGAAGCCTATGAACTGTCCTGGTCACTGGTAATATACATATGTATATACATTTATTCCACTAATCTTTGTCTGTCCTGCCACCTATCTTCTGTCTTCCTACCAATTAACTTTTGTTTCTCCCTACTAAATTACCACTGTCACCAACTAACCCATTTTTCTCCATATCATATAATCACTATGTCTCCCTACCAACTAACCTCTCTCTCTATCAAATAATTTTTATATTTCCTTAGCAACTAACATCTATTTCCCCTTACCAACTAACCATGGATTTTCCCTATCAATGAACCTTTGTTTCTCCGTACCAGCTAACCTATGTTTCTTCACATGAAGAAACTTCTATCTCTCCCTAGAAACTAACTTCCGTCTCCCTCTACCAAGTAACTTATATCTTTCCCTATCACTATCTCCCTGCTAACTAACTTCTGTCTCTCTCCCCAGCTTGATGTTCGACAACCGCACACGGTCGTGGCGCGAGCTGCCGCTGCGGATGGCAGACTTCGGAGTGTTGCATCGCAACGAGCTCAGCGGCGCGCTCACCGGACTCACGCGCGTCAGGCGCTTCCAGCAGGACGACGCGCACATCTTCTGTACGCCCCAACACATCGAGCAGGAGATCGTGAGTTTTTTTTCTGAATGATGATAATAATAATGGTATACACTGGCTGGAGCGTGATAAGATGAGCATGAGCATTTCACCAGGAAATATCACAATTGTTCCTAGGGAAACTTTGGAGATCAACCTACTACTTCATCCAAAAGAAAATGACATAACACAACAGTTTTAATGAATGTATAAACAACAATAAGAAATATATAAATAAAATAAATTTTGTATATTGTCACAGTTTGCATGTCTGGAATTCCTGGAGCATGTGTACTCGACCTTCGGATTCACATTCCAATTGAAGCTTTCGACCCGTCCTGAGAAGTACCTCGGCGATTTAGCAACGTGGGACCAAGCTGAAAAGGTAATATAATTATGATAATTTATTTCGGCGACTTCGGTGGTCTAGTGGTTTAGTACTACCGAAGGTCACAGGTTCGATTTCTCGCACGGTACAAACATTTTTTATGAGTATGATTGTTTGTATCAGTCTGGGTGTTTTCTATGTATAATATGTATTTGCGAAAAAAAATCTCTGTATTTCTATCAGTTATCTAGTACCCATAACACAAGCTTTAGCCAGCTTGGGTTTAGATGGCGCTGTGTGAATTGTTATGAGATTATTATTATTATTGGTACAGGCTCTGGCTGACTCCCTAAACAAGTTTGGCAAACCTTGGCAATTGAACCCCGAGGATGGTGCATTCTACGGACCTAAGATCGACATCACTATACAGGATGCTCTGCGACGTTCGCACCAGTGCGCTACTATACAGCTCGACTTCCAACTACCAGAGAGGTTCAATCTCACATACGTTAGGTGAGTATTATTGTAGTTTAAAGGCTGTATCAACCCAAAAATCGTTAAAAAACGTTGAATTACTACTCCTGATCACAATCTGGTATTTTTTATTAATGTATGATAATGGAATGGTACATCCGCCTGTGCGGTGCGATGGTTTATGCTGACGGGGCACCAGTGGAGAGTGATAAGATGAGCATGAGGGCAGATCAGTTAGCATCGTACTAAGTTCACCAGGAAATATCACGATGGTTGGGGGAAACCACGTGGAAAACTACTTTATTTTATTCTATGTGAAGATGTATTGGTGTACCGATGGGGGTGGCATATTCTACGAAAATAAGCCCTCAATATTTAATAAGATAAAAAAAAAATGACAGTGAGAGTGGCGAGAAGAAGAGGCCTGTGATCATCCATCGTGCTGTTCTCGGTTCTGTGGAGCGGATGATGGCCATCCTCAGCGAGTCCTACGCCGGGAAGTGGCCGTTCTGGCTCAGTCCGCGCCAGGTCTGCGTCGTGCCCGTCGGTCCCGCGTTCGATGATTACGCTGTACAGGTAGGTATTTTGTTTAAAGACAATTCTTATTTTTTTTAGCTGTTCTAATGCAGTTGGTCGTAGCTGGCCTTTACAGCTTAGGGTACAGATGGCACTCAAAATCCACGGTAGGTCTTATGGAGCGGCTGATGGCCAACCCCTATCTGATGGATACGACCTTAGTCTGAGGGCACCATGCACCATATGGGTTCGAACCACGTAATTTCAATCCCCGTTAGAATTGGACGTGAGAGTGATCAGAAGGACGCACAATTTTTTATGTTAGTCGTTCACCACAACATTCTACTTTATTTGTATGTCACAATTATACCTTTTACCCTATGGTTGCCTTAAAAAAATGCTCTTAGCGATAAGCCCGTCTTATTGTATTTATACAGATGTTTTGATGTAACTTTTCTCTTTTACTGTATAATGCAAATAGAAATAAAATATATCTATCATTGACAGAAAAAGCAAAAAGAGAGAGAAATGCTTATATTAGAAACTAATTCTTGCCACGTTAGAAGAGAAACAAAGGGAAATAATGCTGATTTTGTTATATGAAAGGTAAAATGATGCCTAAAAAGGTTGTCTGCAAGAAATTGCTTAAGCGATAAGGGCGACTTTTGTACCATATAACTCTGTTAATATCGATTCCTCTTATATATTTAGTACAATAAAGAGTATCTAAATAAATAAATCTGGAACAACTACACCAATTTAATAAATGTTACTGTTGTTTTTTAATATTATTCTAGTGGAAAATGACAGGATGGGGTAACCATCCTGCTATATTAGGCCAGTTAGCCCATTATGTACTATGTTTTAGGTGAATAAGCAACTATATGAGGCTGGATTTATGTCTGAAGTGGACACGGACGCTGGCGATACACTCAACAAGAAAGTGAGGAACGCGCAACTAGCGCAGTTCAATTATATACTCGGTAAGTTATTGTCGATTTATTATACTATGATGGTGGCAAACAAGCATACGGTTCATCTAATGGTGAACGGTTACCGTAACCTATGAACGCCTGAAACACCAGGGGTATAACGTGCACATTACAGACCCTTAAGAAACCATAGAATATCCTTGGTCAATTCACATAGCGTCATGTAGTCTCAAGCTAAGCAGAGCTTATGTTATAGTTAAGCAACTGATAGATATACTTAGATATATTTATTTTGTAAATACATATTTATAGAAAACCCCCATACCAATATAAATAATCATACATATGAACACAAATTCTTGTACCATGCAAGGAATCGAAACAAAGCGTTATGTTAAATCGCTAGATCATGTAGGCCGTCAAACATAAAGAATGTAATCTTACTCATCCATTCGTAAGTTTATATCGCGCGACAACAATCTATGTATGCTGTAAACACGATGATGAATGATATAAAGTTCGCTTGTGACGACGTGTCTCATATGTCATAGTTCAGTGAATGATGGCTGTCTCATATGTCATAGTCGTGAACGGGTGTTGCTTCTGGGGACTGCTCTGTTCGGGTTACGAACACTGATTAGACTATTTGCTTTTGCAATGACATATGCTGGTGGTCTCTGTTCTTCGAAATTTGAATTTTAAAATGAATCTGTATTATTATAAACATGTACAACATTCATTTGAAAAGAATACGTGCTGAGTTCTTCTCAGCTGAAATCATTTCGAACTGATGGTAGATTTGACATATCATAAGAGTCTGTAATAGATCTACATGAATAAAGCTATTTTAAATTTGAATTTGAATACTTCTCATTTCTCGTCGGATATTTTCTTTCAGTACATCAATTGACCGCGGGTAATAAAGTTTATGTAACTTTAATTTCAGTTGTGGGCGAACGGGAGAAAAGCTCTGGCACAGTGAACGTACGCACGCGAGATAACAAAGTGCACGGCGAGATGTCCGTAGAAGGGCTTATACAGCATCTGAACGCGCTCGTCCGAGATAAGACCCCATCAGAGGACAGTCAACTACTCAAATAGTCTACACTACACTTTTCCTATTTATTTTTATGACAAAACACACGTTTAAAAATATATTGCACAGAACGATTTCAATAAATGGTTTTAAGAGAGGGGGGATTGTTAATGGTGGCCTTTGCTCATAGATTGATGATGAATGATTGAATTGCCGATATTCGATATTATTCCTACAATCAAAATATTTCTTAAGAATAATAGGAATAAGAATAAGAATAATTATTCTTATTTTGTAGTTTATTTGTTCTTATTTCATTTTTTATTACTAAGCTAAACTTTGTACAGTTATTTCGTTTGTTTTATACCACAATGGTGGCAAACAAGCCTACGGTAACTGCATGGGTACATATTGATGCCACGCCTCTTATCTTGTCATTTAATTTCTTTTAGTTGTTAAGTAGAATGATACGACTAACTCCAGTATATATTTTCGCTCACGTGTACAAGAATAGAAATCTTGTACAATGTGTACAACTTATATATTGTACAAATATACAATTTGTACATGTCATTCGAACAAAATGAGGGCGTGGCTTAACGTTTAGTCCGCAATGATTGGTTTATAAAATTGTTTTGTTCTATTACATTACTCATCAGACAAAGCTTTAAAATTCATTATTTATTATCAAATTATAATAATAAAAGATCCCAATGTGTGTTTTGTCAGATAATGTAAGATTTAAGATATGTTATGAGTGAATTCAAATTAGACTAATGTTGCAAATTAAATACTATTTTATATATACTGCTATTGCCCGCGTGTATTTATAGTAGATCTATTGATGATAATCAACCTGATAACAATTAATACAGCATCTATACGCCATCTATAATTAAATTCAAATTAATTTTTTTTCATTTTCCCCGTTTTTAGTACGTTTTTTATTGCAGTTCGGCTTATATTGATAGTCGCGTATTGTTATATAGCCTTCATTTCTCGATATATGGGCTATGTAACATTAAAAGATTATTCAAAATCGGTTCAGTGCAACAAACTTTAGCTCTACAATATTACTTTAGATTACTATACTAACGTTGTTAAATAATTAATAACTAATATTGTAAAGTTTGTGCGACTATAGGTGACAATTTCTGGATCTAATGAACCGATTTTGAAAATTTATTTAATGAATAAAATAGTTGGTGGCGTATTGAAATTCTTTACAAAATTAATTATATCATCTCTTTTGACGTCTCCTCTCTATAACCTACATTTTTAACAATACTTTCTGTTCGCGCGTCTTCTAAATCCATAAAAAAAAAAATAATAATAATAGGTTGGTAAGCCGCCACACTGCTTTTTCCCGCCCCCCTTTCCCCGGCACAATATGGACAATTCATTATTTAACAACAACCACCGCATGCATCAATTTTAATTAATCAAGGAGCTCCTTAAATATTGTAACAAACTGTATTTGTGTCGCGAATGTGGTGTATTGTAATTGAAAACTTAAGTCGTCGACGCAGATCATCAATATTATAATTTGTGCAATTTGGGTGAGTTCCTTAATTTCCCTTTTCCTACGATCACTGCAGTGTGGCTAAAAAATACATCATTTTATGGTACCAATCGAACCGGATTCCTGTAAAACTGATCCAGAACGCGTTTTTCTATATATATATTCCTTCATCGCATTGTATTAGCATTAAAAACCTACAAACGCGTTCAAAACAATTGTCGTCGCTAGCGCACGGCATTCGCCATTTTGAAACCTATCGCTAATTGCACGTGATCGTGATATTTTATTTTTTTTCTATTCGCTACCGCTATAATAATACATTTCTACTGCTATTCGTATAATCGCTTAATACGAAACATCGTAATATCAAACCGCTTAAAATACACAAACTTCGTACAACCGCGTAAATATAATTTAATTATTTACAAACCTATTTCATGTCTACATTCGCATTATTTTTAAAAAAAAAAAAACGATACTTATTTAACTTAAATAACGTGTTATTTGTGTAATACGAATAGATATCGATGTTCTATATCGCATAGTAACAAGCCGCACCTGTGTACCTATTATTTACAGGTAATTTAGTTATTGAGTACTTATAACTGCCCTTCAATTAATTTATAATTAAATAAAGCTATTCGCCATCTTTAAAAATGAGTTCTAAGGTCACTGTTTTAGTTGCTAAAATTAATTGCACTTTTCAACGTATAAATAGGCTGCATGATTGCGCAAAAAAGATAAATATTTCTAGTCCCGAACTTCGTTCTACGGAGGCGTTCATGGCGGATACGGAGACATTGTCAGTAATTCGTGATGAATTTATTGCTAATTTGGATATGATAAATCAATACAAAATTGATGATGATTCTTCGTATGTACCCAACTATTCCCAACTTAATGCGTTTGAAGATATTTACACACGCATTCAGAGAGTTCGTTCTCAGTTAATGCAATCGCAGGGCAGAGTTCTCGTATGCAAACCCAGGATGTCAGGTCTCTATACCCCTTCCACCTATTGATCTTAAATCATTTGATGGCCGATTGGATTCCTGGCCAAGCTTCTATGAATGTTTTAAAGCTAATATATAACAAAAGTATCTGATTCCCAAAAGATACATTTCTGATAGGTAAATTGTCAGGCCCCGCTTTAAGACTAACGACTGGGATAGTACCAGCCGGAGAAAACTACGCCAGCATTTGGCAAAGTTTAGTTGATAAGTACCAAGACCAACGAGCATTAGGCTCTCATTATATGTCCATTTTATTGAATATTAAATCCGCTATTAATAATTCTGTTTCGCTTAATTCCTTTATCGAATCCTTCAACGCCGCAGTGGCAGCCTTAGAACAATTAAAAATTGGTGATCTTAAAGATTTCATATTATTAACGATTGCCTTAAGAAAAATAGACTCTGTAACAGCACACGCATTCGAAATGTCAATTAGAGATAAAGATATTCCTTTATTCGGAGTTTGTAGATTTTATTAAAAGTATATTAGATCGTATAGCACCCGTCCTACGGTTTTTCCTATCGTAGCTAGCCCGCGTAATAATACAGTCCACAACTCGAAAGCTTTGCTATCCCACGACAATAATGAATGTTGTTCAATGTGCAATAGTGGTGATCACTTGCAATTATATCAATGTTCCTTTTTCAAATCGCTTCCAACCGAACAACGTTTCGATTTTATTAAAAATAAACGTGCATGTATAAATTGCTTGAGCATGTCACATACTGTATCGCGTTGTAATTCATCGCAGCATTGTAAAATGTGTAATAAACAACATCACACATTATTACATAATAATAATATTGTAAACAATAAATTTAATAATAATCGAAAATCCTCCGCGCCGCCGTCCTGCTCGCACGCATTAGTCACCGCGTCAACCGTCAATTCTGTTGACGTGCCTGCTCTAACCTCATGCAATTGCCCGACGCCGCCGCCACCGCCGGCGGCGGGGGAGGGGGCGAGGGCTGCCGCTCAAGTCGCGGCACAGCTGACCCCAGCGAGTCAGGTATCATTGTGTGCTCGCGCGCATGTTATTAATAACAACAATACAATATTGCTTAGCACGGCGCAAGTAACTGTCTTAAATTACTATAAACAAAGATCGAATATTAGATGCCTTATTGATAACGCGTCACAAAATCATATAGTGACAACTGCTTGTTGTAAACGGCTTAATTTAAAACCAATTGCACTTAACACGCATTCTACTATTAAAGGTATAGGGTCCGCTTCGCAAACCGTTCGCGGTTGGGTTCCGCTCTGTATTTCTTCGAGAGATAATTTATATACATATACTATTGATGCGCTTGTCGTCGATGTCATAACGGATAACATGCCTTCCGGTTTAGTAGATATGACGATTATTGATAATTTATTAAATATACCGCTTGCTGATCCACTCTGGCATACGCCTGGACAGATTGAGCTTGTAATTGGGGCTCAATTATTCCCATATTTACTATTAGGTGGTAAAATTATTGCACCTCCCGCGCCAGCCGCTCTGGAAACCGTATTTGGATACATTTTAATGGGAGACACACCTTCAGTCGTTGACTCCAATACGAAACCCGCTTCTTCAACATTTCTTGTATATTCCGAACATGATAACGAAAATGATTACTTAGATAAAACATTATGCAAATTCTGGGAACTTGAAGAAATTCCTTCAAATAAATTCATGAGTCCGGAAGAAAAAGAGTGTGAACAGATATACTGCGACACAGTGTCACGTGATTCCTCAGGTAAATATTGTACCGCGCTCCCATTTTCTAGGGATCCAGCTATATTGGGTGATTCCCGTTCTGTAGCTACTCGCCGCTTATTCTCACTGGAACGTAAATTAAAAGATCCAAGTCTTCGTGTCAGTTATAATGAAATCATACAAGATTATCTCCGTAACGATTACCTGTCCGAGGTTCCACCCACCAGTAACGAATACGGTAAAGGGTATTACATACCACATCACCCCGTCATTAGGAACGATAAAACTACCACGAAAGTACGCGTAGTTCTCGACGCAAGCGCTAAATGTCATAATAATATATCCTTAAATGACGTATTACATACGGGACCCAATTTACAGGCAGATATATTCATTCTCTTATTAAATTTTCGCTTATTTCCCATTGCACTAACCGCAGACATTAAACAAATGTATTTAAGAATTGAGGTAAAACAAGAACATAGAAAATATCAAAAAATATTGTACCGTTTTAATTCTACAGAACCCATTCGCGGTTTCAATTTAATCGAGTCGCATTCGGTCTCAGATGCATTCCTAGCCATGCGTACTGTCAGGCAGTTGGCAGAGGACGAGAAGGGTCCGCGAGCAGCAGATATAGCTACTCATGAACTGTATACTGATGATTTAGCTACCTACGCTCGAGGAGGGGGTGGCGTTGTCACGTGAACTATTGACTTATTTAAAAAAGGGGGTTTCCATCTTACTAAATGGGCTAGTAACTCTGTAGAACTACTATCTACGGTACCTGAATGTAAACGCGCCGCTATTAATTTTGTAAATGATGATAATTTAAAAATACTCGGGTTAAAATGGCTTCCCTTAGAAGACGAATTTACTTTTTCAACATGTCCCTTGGACAACAAATGTACTAAACGTACTATCCTTTCCGCTATTGCTCGCTTATGGGACGTTCTGGGATTCGCTGCGCCCGTTATCCTTTTTGCTAAACTTTTAATAAAGGACCTGTGGGTCCAACGGATTGGATGGGATGACTCACCACCAATAGACATACAAAACCATTTTCTTAATTTTAAACAGCAATTACCTCATCTCTCTTCTTTAAAAATTCCTAGACATGTAAAGGTAGAAAATGGTTGTAGTACTAATAT